GACAAAATTAATACTCCAAATGCAGCAACAACGCTACACATGTAAGTAAAAATATTTAAGTATCTGAACGAAGAATTCTAGTCTCTTCCCAAGTTTGATTGTTCTGACTAATCACCTGTTAGGCCTAATTCATTTTAGAATGTTTTGAAGTATTGCAATTGTGATGTATTTTAATGTGTGATATGATGAGGCTGTTGAGGAACTGTGGTTGTTTTTTAAATTAATGAAATTTTTTTTATCTATCTGTGATTTTAGAGAAACTAATGATGGTGGAAAAATACACCGAAACGTATTTTGATTGATAAATAGAGACAATAAATGACTGAAACCCAGAAATGAATTTGATTTGGAATACATATATTATACAAATTATTTAAGAGGATTGAGAATATGGCATGTGAATTAAACATTATAAAAGTACTGATTAAATTATTTATAAGTGTTAGAAAAGATTTATAGTTAACAACATCGCGAGATAGAATTTGGGGTTCATCAAAAGTTAGAATTTATTAATTGTCTATCGCTTGAAACTTGAATTCAACTGGGCTTTTCACTTTTAATATTCGCAAACTGTCCCACTGATCGAATTGTGCATAAATTTGCTTTATGTTTATTATAAAATATTCGCAATTGTGGTGTATTAATTTCACGCGCTACTTTCATATATGATTGTGTGTGTAATGGCATTAGCATAATTAAATCATATGACATATTGAATAGTGCAAGCACCCAAATATGGATGTCTGACATCAAACTTTCTAATAGATGGATATTTTACGGACGATTGAAGACTGATTTGTTCAATTAATAAGCTTTTGATCCGTCAGCAGCAATTTATCGAATTGTTTAGATAGAGAATAAAGAAAACAAGCGGTTTGTTATGTGAATGATTTTTCAAACATAATATTTCTTAATAACAAATTTAAAAACAATTTACTCCAAACAAAAATAAGTTAGGTCTGTTATAGCAACAATTTACATTCGCAAAACTAGAAACAATAAAAGTTAATATGGTGAACGTTTCAATATATACGAATTTGGTTCGGAAAAATTGTTAGGAATTGATATTCTTGAGTCTTGGATGCTCATGGGAACGTTAATAATATTTGTTAGTTCTATATCATAAAATGTATACTTATTGAAGTTACTTGCGTAAATTAAGAAGTTATTATTACTTAAAGCTTTTAATTATTAATGAATAGAGATTCTTAGCCAACTATCACATTAGAAAATTCCTATTTGCACATTGAAAAAATATTTTTTATTAAGACAATATTTATCCATGTGTTTTGAGTCATACATAACGTGTATTCACTTACGTATTGAAAAATTACATACAGAATCTGATGGTACATTTTTTGGATCAAGGAGGAGTTATTGAATATTCCAGTTTTGTTACCACACTGGTTGGTGAAATTATTTTGCATAGGTTTGTTAAGTATAAATGTTTATTTTAGTTTAATCTCATAAATACAATTGCAAATAGTGTTTCTGGTAATTAAAATTAGATCACATTTACTTCCTATCAATTACAGTTTTAATCCATTCGACACTCATGGGAATTTTATGGTAAATTCCAGGTTGATGGGGCTCTCCGCATCCAAAGCCTGCACTTGTAATGCCTACCAACGTCCATCTACCTAAAAAAATACCAACATTTTCATTAGATACAAAATATATTATAATATTATATTTTAAATTTTGAATAGTTTTGAAAAACTATGAAAACTTTTCACATGTACGTAAAGCAAATCAACGAAGCTGTTCCTTTTAACGTATTTTAAAATTAATGGCAATTCAAGCAGCTCTCACTTTTGATTACTTGAATACTTCATACATATTGAATTTATAATAACACGGAATACTTAATAACTTTCTGAGGAACCAAACAATTGTTTGGATAATAATATGAAAGCGTAATTAAAAATGGCTTTAAGTAATAATAGGAACATCAAGTTTTGTTTATCCGTTTTCATCTAATGAAATTTAATTCAAGCCCTTTGTTGTTGTCGATGAAGATTGAGAAATGCTTTCTTATGCAATTTAATCTTCACAATATATTAGAAAAATGTAACTCTCCGGTGTTTCATGTGTTTATGGAAAGAACGTTTAGTTTTAAACTTACAAAGTTATTTAATTTGCTAATAACGCAGTATGTAGCTCCACTACCTTTAGTACATTCGTTCACTTTAAAAGTTTGCATTGTAGTGAAAAACCTTCTCCCTCTTTAAGACAAAATTCAACTGAAAATTGATTTCTCGAATTCTGCAATTGGAATTTTTCAGTTGTCCTGATCTATCCTGTCTGTATCTTCTTGTAGCTGCGCTTCTTTCTGCCATTATATAAAAGAGCTTGACACATTATATTTATTGATTTGGTCAATAACTAAAACTGGCGAAAATAGAAGTTGTTTTGAATTTTAGAGTGTTTTGGGAACCACTTTCATAATTTTTCCAATTATAGCAATTGGTCATGTTAAAAGCATTTAAAACTGGCGAAAAAATTCCTCGTTTTTTTAAAATATTGTCCTCGTTTGAATAAGTATTTAGTTGAAATTGGATAGAAGAAAAAATTCTACAGCGCATAAGTTTTCGCAAGAAATAAAGGTAGTTTTTTTTAAATTCCAGCAAAAAACTTCACAATTCTTAAACGTTTTATTGCAGACGTGTAGATATTCAATTGTTATTAAGAAAAACTAACTCCTTCTAATACCAGCAGTAAATCGTGTGTTAATTAGCAAACTTTGGTTTAGCAACAAGTCTTCAGACAGTCAGAAAAGTGTACAGTTTTTGGTGTTTTTGATGCTCAGAAAATGAAATACAATAATCTTTATAACATCATTGTTGTTTTTTTCTGTTTCCCTACCATCATTTAATTGCCATGTAAGCAAATATGAATAAGCATGCTTCAATGTGTAAAGAAATTTTACCATGTTCTAACAGTATTAACGGCCCTCCTGAATCGCCAAGGCAGGCATCTTGTTTTCCCAACTTATAACCTGCACACAACATTTCGGGATGCAATTCAATAACGATCTGCTTGATTTTGTGCCAAGCCATACACTCACTTATATCTGCAAAAAAGTGAATAAAACATTAAAACGAGTTATTCTGCATATGTTATACAGTGGCTGAAAGATGAGAATAATCCCTTTATGTGGATGAGTGCGTCATCAACTATATTAGAAAACATGTAAATACCGTAACCATAAACGTTGTAGCTTTATAAATATTGAAAATTTTTGAGTAAATATTATCTACAAACATGGTTTGAAGTTAATAAGCGCATTAGAATAACATTTATTTTTTACTTGTCAAATAAACTACCAAAAGTTTAATATATAATACACTGGAATCAAATTAGTTGAAATTCTGAATCAATATCAACATTAAATTCTCAATAATTACGGTTTCCACTACTAATTTTTAGTTTAAGGGACGACAAATGATAATAAAAATTGCAACAAATTACTATCCACCAACCTAATATAGGAACTGAAACACTTCTTAACACATTGGTGCCTGTTTGTTTGCTTTGAGGTTCAGTTTTCCCCCATCCAGCTACCACAGCTTCTCTCCCTGTTAATTCTATAGCTGAATCGGGAAGACATATAGGCGTTATGTGATAACTGAAACTCGCCTCAGTAACCAACTCGAGAAGAGCCAAATCGTAGCGATCTGGTTGAGTCGATTTGTAATGGAATTTTGGATGAATTAAGCGTCGTTTTACCTAAACAATATTCGTATAAAATATTATGGAAATATCTGTGCATATAATGATTCTAACATTAATTTTGTTTATTAAGCGTTATTTTAGATTGAGTTTTAATAACTTTTCAAGTTTTATTCGCTTACCCTATGTAATTCGGCTGGTGCAAGCTCTTCGACTTGTCCAGTGTCTTGAGTGTCAAGTTCTCCCAAATAAACCAATAAATCCGTTAGTTTTGCCGGCAAAATACAGTGAGCAGCAGTTGCAACAAATTTTCTGGAAACTAGGTTAAATTTGATATGCCAATGTTCATTTATCTGTTTATCACCGTTTAAATTAGAAATTGTGTTCAATCATCTTCTAATGTTGTTTTATTTGTTGCACCAGAATTCGATTTTTTTGTTAAATGTACCCAGTTGTAATTCCAACATTTTTTTCTGGATCGAATTTCACATAAATTAAGAATTAGCTGTGTAAAATGTTGCCTCATAGTTGAATAATTGAATTAGTTATTGTTACTTTGCCAAAATTTAGAGATTTGTGGCGAACATTTCTCTTTAAAGAAAATATTTCTGGACCTGACTGAAGGACTAGCGACTTAAAACATACCTAGAACTCCTCCACATTGATATGAAAGGATTTTGATGTACGCTTGCCATGGGAACTGACCAAATTCGGCCGGCTTGCCCCCAATTATCCTTTTTTGCAATATTCTATCATTGGAAATTCCACATTCCTCATCAAAGTCATTCCAAATATCATTACGGCGCTGAATGGACTGGGAAATAATATTTTCTCGTGTCCTAGAATTTCAAATGTCGTCAAGAACACTCTTTTTTATATCAGAGAAATAAATGAACTTAGTACAAATTAACCAGTTGCATATAAGCTTATTCATTTTTAGCACATTATTTGCCTATACGTTTAAAAAAAAGTTCATGTTTTCCAACATCATAGTTCATGAAAGATTGAAAAATAATTCCTTTGTTTCACGAAAGAAGAAAACATTCCATTAATGACTGACAAGCGAAATTGTTAGATAACACCGTACATAAATAAAACAAAGCGAAGTTTCAGTTATAACAATAACATAAGTAAAACCCCATTGAGTTTAATAACCCACCGGTAAATATTTCCGTGTTTAATTTTATCGAAAAGGAAAACACATCAATATCGAAGGGGTTTACTTTGTTCAAACGAATAATCATTGCGTATTTTGTCGGTTAAATGAACTGTTTCGTGCTGCTTACTCTAAATCTTCTTCCAGACTGTTTTTCAATGCAACAGGACGATCGAAGATATCCTGGTTTTTGTTCTGAGTAACGCAACAAGCAAAAATCCATGGATTGGCGCCACATCCCGATTGGCTGGATCCACCAGCCCACCAGCACGCTACTGAAAATGTGCAGGCATGGGAAGCTCCTTTGAGTTGACAATTTGATGGGTATCCAAAAAGAGCCACAAAAACACCACCTAAAAATAGTCTATGAATCCCGCTTCCTCATTAGAAGTTATTTTCATTTATTATGTTTTCATGAGGCAATTACGGAGTCGCCGCTGGCTTGTAGCAGCTCTAAATCTTAAGAAATCAGCATTGACATTTTGGATAGGCTGAAAGTTTCAGCAATAAAGTTTAGTATGCAGACCTGTTATGCCCCTCCAATATCCATTATCGTTTTCGCCAGTGGAAATGTGTTTTCTCTTCCAGAATTGCTCCATGTTTTCCAACTTCCAAAATTCCCATATTCCCAGTGCCGATTGCTGAATAGTTATTACAACGAATATTATAATATTTATTCGCATTTTCCATAAGGCATTTTTGAGACGATGTGGCGATCATTTGGGTTTTAGTGTCTACAAAAATGTTCCTTGATGTATAAAACTGATCGTATTTAAATGGGTTTTACGAAAACATATATCGAGGCTGCTCATTTTAAAAGAGAGCAGCTGTTAAAACGAAAATAGATTTTGTTTTGAGAATTAGCAGACGTCGAGAAGAAAACAAATAATTCAGAAAGGTGTTAAACGAATTGATTAAAATGAGCTTCTCGGAACGCTTTGCAAATCTAGGTGGGTTGACTGATCACGTGCAAGAGAATCTCCTGATACCAAGACCGACTGCTACAGGCTAAAACGTGTATCTTTAAAAATAACTATTTGACCAAATTAGTTTTTACTTTAAGCCAGTTGTTGTTTTTTGTGGAAGTTTACGCCGAAAAGCTTATTCAGAACTTTCTAAAATATAATTTCGAATCTTCGTAACAAATACGTACTGCTCTAATTCACAAAATACGAAAGGAGAATGATCTCATACTTCTGAAAGTGTAGTGTTTTATTTACTAATTATTCAGTCTGTAATTACAATGAACTAAAATAAAATTACATTTCTTCAGTATTGGCTATATTATTAGGCTCTTTTGTAGAGAATTACTTAAAGGCAACAGTAGTACATTTTTGCAATCTTCCTTTTGAATATTTTATTTTAATAACTAAATGAAGTGATTCGATGTTTTTTTCAATTTAATATTTACCTTAACAGGAACTTACAATTTAATGCCTGAGGTGATTTACTATATTCTAATTAGGTACTGAAGTAGAACTGTTTTTTTATTTTCTAAGGAGATCTATAAATGCACACTTAAGATTGCCGAGTGGCTGACTAAAACTTTATTTATTTTATTTTCGCGCAACGCGTAAGCTACCACAAGATTTATTCATAATAAGAGAATAATTCATAATGTCAAATGTTTAATCACCTGAAATATTTTTAGTTATGTCTATTGAATTTAGGTATGAAAAAATTTCATGTGAATATGAATACAAAAAACTTGAAATAACCGGTTTTTCTGGGGGTAGTGAAAAAAATTGTAAATGTTTTCTTTTTCTTTCAATTTTATTTAGACTTGTTGATAATAATTTATTTGGTAATATCAGTATCTTTCTCACTTATGTCAATGAAAGTACCTATAATAAAATAGAAAAATAATATATATCTACTAATGCTCTGATGCCAAAAAACGACGCCTTTCAAAAAAATACCATTGTTTTTCCTGAGCTAAGATAAATTATAACTATTGCAATTGAACATTTGAATAAAATAAACTGGAACACTCCTTGAACAACTTCGATGCATTTTGCCTTTACAGCAATACTGCGTACTTGTTTTCACTAATTTGAATTTGGGTTAGTAGATTTGCTAACCCGATTCAATTGCATTTAATTGTTTTATCATGTAAATTAGCATCTAAATTATATTTAGAATTTGAAAACCCCAGCTTATATAAAAACGATATATTATTATATTTAATAACACCATAAGGAAAATATTGAAAAATACTGGATACTAAAAGAATTTTCAAATTTACCTTGCTGAAATCACGTTGGATACATATTTGGCTGAAACTCCACCTTAAACGCACATTTTACTCATACGACAAAACCCTAGAAGTCCAGAAATGTTTTGACACTTGAAAACTTGAAGCAAAACTTACTGTTCGTTACCGTCTACTTATAACAGTACACATCGAAAAGATGGCCTGAAGTAACGGCTTGTTCTTAAAGATCGTTGTTCTACTTAAACGAAGACGACGACGTTCTGGGAAGTGCGTCTACAAGAATTCTTATATTAAATTAGTGATGAATTCAGTTGAATAAAAATAAACAACAAGAGGAAAAGTAGGTTTTATTACTTTTCTACTGGTGCTCACATAAATGGTCCGCTTAATCAGATACTTTTCGAGGCGTTTTATGACTTCAGTCACCTACATTCAATTCAATTTGCGCGGGCAATAATTCTTTTGTATACAAAAATTGTATCAAAAACATATGTAAGAGCTAAATCCTACGTTAACACGTTAGTCCGTGTATAACAACTACAATTTGGTTTATTAGCTATATCTACTGTTAAACATCCAATTTAGACTTTAATATATTAAACATATCTAAATCAAATCCAAATAAAATGCTTGCAATTGAAACTAAGCATGCAAATTTTAGTGGTAAAATCATTTCAGTAGAAGACATTTTAATAGCTCATCTATTCGTATGATGAGGTGTTTATGTACACTTGACCTAGTATGGCTCTCATGTTCAATAAACTTATTATTTTATTATTTTTTGAATCATAAACAACGGAAATGTATGTAGAAACATTCGCTTTGTGTTGCTGCACCGTTGATTAATAAGACAATGTTACTTGCTGCCCTTACAAGAGGCAACTAAGAAAAATCAGCTCCAGGTTAAAACTTTCTCAAGATTTCGATCGGATTATTGCTGTATATCTGGTTTACACAGACATCTTAGACGTGTTGAAATTTTCACCAATCTCCATGCTTCTAACTCTAGTAAGATGAATAAGTTGGTTTTGCTTTGAAGAGTCGATGAAAACTGCTACTGGCTTTTATTAAAATTATATTGAAATGGAGAAATTAGCCCTTGCATTGCACCTGTTGAAATCTAGTCTTAAACCAAACAAAAGTTTGGTACACAAAACATGCAAAACAATAGTTTGGTAAACGTTCGAGCTGCATTTTCAGAGATTTGAGTTGAGTTGCTTCTTTATGGCTTTGCATGTATGCAATCGCCAGTTCAGAGTTTCTACTAATACTAATCATAAAACAAACATAATTAACTGCAAATGATACATTTATAATAACTTGTCAGGTCAAAAACATGGAACTTATTTGTAACCGAAATTTAAGTTGCTTTTTCGACTCTGTTGATAACATTTAAATTCATATTTACAGTTAGATCAATTTCATAGTTTTTACATACAAATTGAATATTTCAACAGCCTGGATTAATGAAATTAACTCTAATCCTTTAAGTGGATTTATGAGTAAAGCATTTAATTGATTTACCTAAGTGTTCTGTATAATTGTCCTAAATAAATAAATTATACTTTTTAAAATATTAAATTTATAAACAATTTAAACTTTCATAGATTTCCAACTTATTTATAATTTAAATACTCGGATAAAACCATAATAAAATAGTGTAAAAGTTTGTTTTTCAGCGAAAAAATCGATTGCGCAACATTCTTATCGTATCTCCTATCGTCTTGTATTAATAAAATTTTCAAAGCATAAATGTCGCCTGGAGTACGGTTGTCGAGTAAATAAAGATTCTGAAAATTAAAAATATTTTTAATGCAAGTTGCACCTGCTTCTCTCAAGATTGAATTACTTAGTCAATCTAGCTGTGTGATTGTTATTACACAATGAGTACCAACGTAAAATATATTAGTCAAATAAATATGTAAATAACGGTAACAAATCAAGATACTGAGACAAAAATCAAAGAGCTTTCGCAAATCTCGTGCATTAAAACTGTTCCGTATTATATATTATGGTTATGACGTGGAATTGTTAATCGCAATTTACGATAGCCAAGGATTATCTTCTTTCAATTGTTTTCAACATTGAAAATTCCATCCTCTGTTAGAATTGTAAGCATAATCATTTTAGGCTCATATTGAAAGCACATCTCCATTCTGCTGAACAAAAATATAAGTTACTCCAATCCACACCTTCATACAAAAAGAATTTTACGGCTTTGTTAAAGTTTTACAATTTTTATCATTTTTATTTTACATTATCTCCCTTCCATATTTTCATGGAATTATAATAACTTTAACGTCCGAACATAAAAAATTATATTAAATCAAACAATTTTTAAAACATTTTGCATCAATGAATTGTTGAAATATCAGTATTAACTAGTTGCAAACTACTGATGCAAGGCAATAGCTTCGTTCAAACAAAATATTATTTACTTTATACCAAAACATTTAATACTTCCGTATAATCCTTGCTGGAGAATCACGTTTGGGTTACCTGCACCCTGCTAATTCCGCTCGAGTATAAAAGCGATCGCTTGAATTTAAAGAATCACAGTTCAAACACTGATCGCAAATCATTAAAAACAAAAAAAAACCAAAAAAAATGGCATTCAAATTCGCTGTTGCTGCCCTCGCTCTGGTTGCTGTTGTGAGCCTAGTAAGTACTGTTTTCAATAACTTTTTGTTGGTATTGTGTAATTTCTTCCAATAGTTTTTAAATTATTCAACGGAAATTCAGTAAGTTTTTGTTTCAACAGAGCACTGCTGCTCCAAACTGCGGATGCGGCGGACGTCAGGCTTACTCCCTTCCATCTTTGACCCTTGGTGGAGGATGCAATCTTCCATTCAAGGCGCCTTCTTCCTACCAGTGCCATGAACCAGCTCCCTCTGTCAGCCACAAACCCGACGTCCATCTCCCCATCCCAGTCCCAGCCAGGATCCCATTGGGCAACTACTGCTCATGCCAAAAATACAGCGCCAGGCCCACATTGGTGCCATGCGCTCGTGGATCCGCTTCCTCCCAAGCTGCCGCTCCAGGCACAACTGTAACCATCACTGAAGCTGATGCTGCTCCAGCTCCAGCCTCCAACGTAGTCTACTCTGTTGCCGCTCCAGCTGCTTGCTCATCTTCCGTCTCTTACGTACAAGCTCAAGCACCTTCCGTCTCTTATGTGCAAGCTGCAGCACCTTCCGTCTCTTACGTGCAAGCCCCAGCATCTCCCGTCTCATACGTGCAAGCTCCAGCTGCTTCATCTTCCGTCTCTTACGTGCAAGCTCCAGCTGCTGCCGCTGCTCCAGCTTCCTCTGTCAACACTCTGGCCAATTTGCGCAGTCTTTTGTCCAGCATCCCACAGGCCTCTGCTCCAGCAGCCGCCCCAGCATCTTGCTATTGCGCCTAAGACGGGACGATAAAGTTCTACCCGATTAAATTGAAATAAATTGGTTTTTTCATCTTACTACTGTGTTATTACTTCTATTTTAATTTAAGACCCTTTGCGGAAAATTAGTTATACGACTAGAAAAATGCCGCCCAATATGCCTCAAAGTATGAAGGGTGTTGAGCAGAAGAATCGCCCATAAATGAAATCATTTCATGACAATCAATTGGAAATTGCAATTAATCAAAAATTTACCATTGCCCCTATTTACCACCAAGTAGTTTAAACAGGCGTAATTTGATAAACTTCTAAAATGGTTGAAGAGATGAAGGCGTGAACCCAAATAGATGCATTTAGCGACAGCAGAAGCATGTTTAAAGACAGCAAAAAGCGGCTGAATTCCAGCCTGTAGGTAAATTGAACCTGTTTCTGTTAGTTGGTTGAAAGGTAATTGCAAATTAGCTATCTCTCCCACGGACCAAAAAAATTGTTCCTCATGTACATTATACCAATAATATTTTGCTGATCTAACATCAATAGAAAAGCTCAAGTTCAAACAAGTTCAAGTTCAACATTGTTTAATTGTTTTGGTTTTAACCATAAACCCACAGGTTCAGGTGTGTGAACTATTTAATAATAAACATCAGGAGAAAGCGATTACACGACTACTGATTAATAAAACCCAAGGGAAGTTGAGAGTTGCTTGACAAATGACGATTAAGCTTAATGGTTTTAAAAGCATATTAAAACTGAAGTGCTCTAATAATATTTAACAGAATCCATTTATCCATTTATAGTAGGTATCTTCCGTGCAACGAAGTTGAAGATTTCAAAAATGGTCCAGGAATTAAAATTTTGGTATTTAAAAATAATCGAATCGTCCATCTTTATATTTTTATGCTTCAGGAAAGGTTTATTTTATTTAAAATATTTATTCATATTCGTCAATTCATTTTCGCAATTTAGAGCACCCTCAAAAATAAACTATGTTTATATAGCAAACTACAGGGTGTTTTGTCAATGTAGCGCTTTTTTTTTGTTATCAACAGCACATCCTAATTTTCTTTACATTCGACCAGTTAACATGTTTCTAAAGGTTTGCAAGAAAGATACTAGCAAACTGAGTTCAAAAAAATGTTCGCTTAACAGCACTATAATTTTTCTTTTGGGTTACGTTCAAGTTAAATGAAGTATTTGAACTGAGATTGTGAAATTATGCGAAATTGAAAATATTTAACAGATTTTTTTGATGTTTCTACTGTTTCAAACTTGTATCTGCTGTTATTTGTAAACTGCAAAGAATAAACCGCAGCTTCAAATAACCTTCACCACCTGAATGAATTCTATTAAAAAAAAACAAAAACACACAGGACGATATTTAAAGAAAAGAATATACGAACGTAAATATACCTTAAGAAAGGTTAACGAAAATGGAACCGCATTAGCACAACATACGCAACAAATGTTAGATAGTTCTGATTTTGAGAACACAAAAATATTAATCAATGAAAAGAATTATAATAAGAGAAGAATCCATGAAATGATACAACATAAAAAACATCAGAATGCAATGAATTTTAGATAGACACAGACAATCTTAGCTCTATATATCATACACTAATTAAACAAACACCTATTACTAATTACTAATTAAACCAAATACATAAAATACAAACACCTGGCATAATATATTGAAGAAATGCAGACCAAGTGATATCCTCAGAATGCAAAGAAAAATGCCAAATAATACAAACAGTTTTTTTATTCTTTCGCTCGATATTGGACGAAGTAAAGATTTTTCAATGGCTTGCCAAATGTGAAGGTAGAAACAGCCATACATGTAAATAAAATTTAAATCTCTAAACAATAAATTGTCTTTTCCCGAACACGGTTGTCCTGACTCATCATCTGTAATCTCAAGAGATTCAAACGATTTTAATATACTTTTTGATATGTTTGTAATTTGTATTTTAGTATGTATATTTTAACAGAGCTCTTGCTTTAAACGAATGACGACTGTGAATGTATATTTTAGACAAACTGATGATGGTGGAGAAAAACACCGAAACGTATTTGTAAAATTTTAAATGATAAACAATAAAATTAACTGGAACCCAGGAATTTCTTTTGAATTAAGTTAAAATACAGTCAGGAAAATATACACAATGAATTAAAAAAACAACCCTTTTCTCGTGTGTACTGAGCACAAAATTCCTTTGGTATAAATAAAAAGTATTTTCGAGACAGCCCACAAAATTTTTTTGTTTGTTCACTGTAAATGTGAAGTAGATTGAAATTTAGATTATATGAAATCGGAAAATTTACACTTCAAGGGATATTATCCGAAATAGTAAATTGAGTTAACAAAGGAATTGTAATGTAAATACTTATTACCCAACTCTCATTACATGAGTTTTACCGCAAAACTGCTCAATTTATTGCGGAAAGTGTTCAACTTTAATTCACATTACCTTTCGTTTTAACAAAAATGTTTGGAATATCCCGCATATTGATGTTGAAGGAAAGTTTTTTGTGAGAGCAACTTCTCTTCAAACCATTGCTCGATGCAAAAGTTCGAGACATCAATAAAAATCTGCATGAAAAGTTTCAATGGGTTTCCATTCCTCTGGTTCTGGTGCGTGTTTATATCGAAATTGATTTTAATTGTCGCTTATGAGTAATATCTTTGGTATGACTTCAGCATACATTTTCAGTATGAGATTAGACCTCTTAAGAGTTTTTACTAGTTAGGTTAGCTTTATGAATATCCAATATAAGGTACATAGAAAGTGGGCCTAAGGTTACCGAAGTGTGGCAATAGTTTATTCATAATCTGCAGCTATACTAAGGCTGTGCGCAATTAATATTGAAAAACTTAAGATTACTTAAAGCAAAGTTGAAACTGTATCTTCAATACTTAATATCTTTAAACAAAATCGACCCAGTTGAATTGAAACATTTTCGCCGTCCTCTTCAAGTAAGCTACAGTACCCGTCAGGAAATGCGAATTTTGAATGATCCATAAGGCATTTTAAAGATTATTCTGGAGAGCAATGGCACTCTTCATTTTTGAATAATTCTTCAAAAAATTATAAATACGTTTTGTCCAAGACAGGCGCTTCGGCGGAATCTACGGATTTATTATTGTCGATAAAATATTGCACCGTTTGCTTGAAACTTTCTTAAATCGGAAATGAAACTATCACTTAATACCAAAATACTGATTCTTCCTGAAAGCAATTGTTGCTTACTGCAGCTCGGTGCGAACAACTTCCGGAAGCGAACAGTCTTGGAAAATAGCACGTACAATTCGTAAATTTGTGACGTGTTACCCCATTCTGTGTGTATGTAATGCTTCTAATCGCAGAGATGGGCCAGTATAAAAGCGAACGCTCAGAATCCTCAAGACACAGTTCTGATACTGACAAAAGTTGAAAAACACTGAAAAAATGGCTTTCATTTTCGCTGTTGCCCTTGTTATGGTTGTCGCCCACCAGGTAAGAGTTGCTAGTTTGTCAGCTAATTTTTAAGATGAAAATTATGATTTTGTTGAACTACCACACCTGGAAATGTTTGCTAATTTTGTCGTATCTTCAGGCTCATGCTGCGTGCATTTTGCCATCACCTGGATCCTTAACCGCCCCACCGGCGCCAGTTCCATCCACCCTGGCTCTGCCATGTGACGCTTGCGGTCCACTCAAGACCCAAATCACCCAGCACCCTGACATCAACTTCGACCTCCCTCTTCCAGAAGAAATCCCATTGGGCAGATTCTGCGCTTGCCAGAAATACGGCATCACCCCATCCTTGAGACCATGCCCACCTCGCCCACGTATCCCCGTTCCAGTAGCACCGGCACCACGTCCAGCTATTGTCAGCATCCCTGCTTATGCCGCTCCAGCTCCAGCTCCAGCTCCAGCTCAAGTTGTTTACAGCGTTCCAGCTCAATCTGCTGTGATTTACGGTAGCCCAGCTGCATGCGGTGCCCCAGCTGTCTCTGTTAACCCAGCGTCAGTCAGCGCTTTCCTGAGAGGAGGCTGCTCTTGCGCTTAAGTTCAATAGCTGAACATCTTTGCAAATAAATGATTTCCAGGCCCATTTTTGTTGTATTATTCCAGTATCTACACTGTTGACAAACCCAAAATTGATGATTGATTTTTTTGTTCACCACAACAATGTCCAACGTAAATGTAAGCACAGAATTCCCCGGACATAAGTATAGGCAAATTGCACGTAAAAATAATAAAACAATTTGCATCAACTGAGGTACTGCAGATGCTTCCTGTGGATATGTTGTTTTCGAGTCATTGAATTCTGTTGCATCAGCTATATGGCGGATATATTGCCGAATTTAATATTTGAAACACTTTAAAATATTAGACTATTTGTTTGGAATATTGCTAAAGTTCGAATCATTAAAATTTTTGCTAGAGTTAGATATAACTTAGAAATTTCCAGGTATTCAGTGGAAATAACAGCTTTTAAGATCCTTTCGAAATCTCACGTTTTTGGTTAGAACTTACCTATAGTTTGATCCTTCGCGCTGAATTATATTGAAATTTCAATAAAGCAAGAACGGACTTAGATGCCAGTGCTATAATTATTTATTATCGCAATGTTCGAAGACAAATGAAACGGATGCTTGGGGAAATCCCGTATAATCAAAAATAATAATATCTTAAACTCAGAACCTCGTATTTTCGTCACAAAATGCCAAGACTGCAAAAAACTGCTTCTTGTGTGCCAGACAGGGGGCAACTTGCGAAATTCATATAGTAGTCCATCATTTTTACTTACTATAGAAAGTTAAAAATTAGTTCAGAATAAAATTTTTAACTTTTGATAAAGTTGCTCAATACCCTTTTACCTTAATTTTGGGAGTTTTAATAAGAAAAGGTTTTATAAGTTGAGCAGTTCGAAAGGAAAAAAAACGGTGTAAATTAATCGATTGCAGCAAGCCAAGAAAAGTGCTTGACAAATATGAAATAAAACCATCAAGTTACTCTTTGAATTTATCAGCTTGCCCTCAGCCTGGCCCACAGAAAAGAAGAAGAATATATTTTCTGTAACAACAACAAACGCCGTAGTATTTCAGGGCTCTTATTTGTCTTATTTATATCCCAGGCTTCTTATTTGCAAATGCTTTGCCGCAGATATTTTTTTCTAAATATTTTTGTGTTTCAGGATTGATCGAAATCACCTGGTATGTACAATGTTGATGAGGTGGTGAATTGTAAGTATTCGTTTAACTTTTTTATTTAGAATGTTTATTTTATTAATATCTCTTAACCGCTCGGTCTGATTTACCAAAAGAAAATTATGTGGCGAAAAATAATTTGATGCTTTTCTGTGGTATGGACATAACATGGTAACTAGAAATGTATATATCTSTGACATTTTCTTGAAAAGTGGAAAAGTACTCTTTCCGAACTAATTACATACTTCTATTCGTGGAAAAATTRGGAATGAAAAGTATACGCGACTTTTTTAAACARGGTTGCAAATCTATATTTAGTCTTCAGTGTTTAAATCCTGCTTACTTAAGAGGCATGGAAAATTGCTTTAGGTCTTCTAATGATCGCGAAACAAAATACACATTATGATCTAGCACACTTAGTTAGATATTTGACTTGCTATTGATATCGACTTAAGCAGAAGTTAAGAACGAACCCAGTTGTAAACTTACTCAGTGTGAAAATTTATCAGCAATGTTCAGACATGAGGTCGGTTTCCTTGATTGAGAGAAAACAAGAGTTTTTTATGGTTTCTTATTGAATACTCACAATTCTGTTGAAACCAAGACGGACATTTACCTCCATCAATGTTTTATCGTTATTGGCTGACAAAGGTTGTACATTGACATTCAAACATTCCAGCTATTTTTGCAAAATAATTACATTTCAGTTATTTTTTGCAATTTTGACACCTTGTAGATCGAAAACTACGTGTTTTAGGAATGTAATAGGTGTATCAAGACAATTTATTGAAATGTTCTCTAAACTGTATCTATAAAGCCACTTTCTAATAAAAATATGTTAATATGTAATTTGTTCGAAGATTGACGCAAGATATATACATTCGATATGTACCAGTTCCCAAATATCCGCACGACTGCGCCATTTACTAGTAATCTTTGACTTCCAGCATCTTTATTTATGTGCACCAACGCGTCTAAACTAAATGATTTAGCAAGCAGGCAGAAAATATGTTAAAGCCATGCGTTTTCGAGGCTTCAAAGACAGATAACTCATATTTCAAAAACGGTCTAGCTTTGATATTTCATATTTTATTTACGAGTTTAGTAGATTTATTCCCTGAATTAGTCGAATGCGCTTGGGTTCAAACATACAGGACAATAAAACTCAGCAATTACCACAGCTTTTTAACAAAAATAGCATCTACTTAATATTTTTAGTGGTAGAAGATTTGATAAATCGCCTAATTGTTGTATACAAGTCAAGAAGAAACGACAGGATAAAGATAAGACTCGATTAATAGCCAATTACAGATATTGCCAATTACAGAAGTTATACGTAATATTTCTCGTATTAAAATGTGATACTGTAACCTTTTTTTAACACTCACTATGTGTATATCGATTATTAACTGTTCATTTTAGTTTGGCCGTCTTCTAATTCGAAAAATCATATTTTGTTCACTACTATGTTTTTAGAACTCAACAGAAACAGCGATATCAGTTGCTTTTCAGCAAATGCAAAAAAGAAAGATTTATTACAAATATAACAAATTTTACAACAACATAATGAACCGTTTTAGCCGAAAATGTGTTCAAATTCTATAAAAACATAAACGTGCAAGTTGTGTACGAAAGATAAGCCACTAATTTTGTTTTCGTAACCAGCTAACTCTGTGAAGAAATACATAAAAAGTTGCGCATTTGGAGTTTAATGTTTTTTGTTTACCAAGGAGCCTAACTAGATTCAATTTATTTTCTGCTTTTAAAATACTCATTAGCAAGTTCTCTTTGTTGTACGTATTCTAATTTCCATGAATATTTTTTTTCGATTTTTCATAGAAATATGCTCCGTGTACCTATTAACTTTTTATGTATGTAGTTACTCAAGTGTATTATTTAATTTTTATCCACCATTGCGACAATAAAATACATGAAAGAATCTGGATACATATAATATAAATAACATATAAAATACATGAAGGACACTTCTTAAGTATAATGGAAATAATCATTGAAATATTGCAAAATATTCACACGTCTATAAAGAAAAAAAGCTTTAGAGAAAATCTCAAAAAATTTATTGTACTACATACGATTTCATTCAACGCAACATTTAACATAACAACGTAAAACTATATACTGGAGATTAAACAACTTACACACTAATTTACAGCAATTCGAGTATATTAAAACGTACTAGTAAATTATACATAATAAATTATACTTGTGAAAGCTCGGCACGCTTAAAGCCATAAATAAATCAATAAATACTTAAATATTTTCCGGTATAACAATTACTTTAATCTGTACTAGTACTATAATTAAGTTCGTAAAATATCTAGCAAAGCAATTTTTTTGTTTCGTGTACGTACTATATTTCAAAATTGAAATTTTATTAAACACAGATAGGTACTTTAACTGTTCAGTTTTAGTTTTCTAGATCATTTGTCTTCTGACTGTTCTGTTTACACGCGCATGTCTATGTTTACATTGTGGCAAATAGCTGACACTAAACTGTTTATTTATTAATGATTTGTTTACTACCACAATGCAATGTGTGGAATGTAGAATGACTAGTATCCTAACGTCAAATATTTACAAGATATATATTATACAATACATATTGTCGTAGAGTTCAAAGCAACACAACTATTTACACATTGGCAGTGTCAAGATCACCGAATACATCTCTTCAATTAATATTAGTTAATATTTTTTGTTTTTCGCTTTGTGTGCAAATTGCTTACTTACAACTAGGTCACAGTCTAGTTATATTCACATTAAATGTTCCTATTGGCTTTTAAATCTACTGTACAGTTGGATTGATGAGCGACAATTTATCTAGCAGCTACAGCTCTGGAAATCCAATCTACAGTATGTGCTACCTGAAAACACAAACACAAAATTAGCAACTATATATAAGGGGACAGTTAAATTAATTAAAGCTTCTAAAAGTTAAAAAAAATACATAATATATTAGAGAATAAAATTTGCAATTTGGGCCAACATGTTTGTTCTAATAGAATTAGTTAGTGCCATCCATGCTTGATAGCAAAGAAACGTGGTTAAGTTTGTGCAATGTATATTTTTCTTCAAGTTAACCAGCTGATTTTTCAACAATTTATTTGCGAATTCTCGTTTCGATATATGTACTTTAAAAATAAAAAAATCAATTCGATCGTAATCCTGCGGAATAATATATTTTTAAATTGATGTATGAATAGGGTGAAAATATTTTTCAGCACGCGCGGAAAGCTTGTCCCTTTGAGAACTCCTATGGGATGGCTAAAATGTTTATAAATTCCTCAAATTAGCCTCAAACAAAGACAAATAATTCTCATCAGATTCATTATTTACATTTGAAATGGTCTTTCTGTTTTATTTGGTACAGGTTTATTTTCATTATTTTTAAACAACTTAAGATTTCAAATAGATTTTCTAGTTGCTAATGCATTTTTTTCCGTTTCTGTTTGCTGATAATTTTTTTGCAATTTCAATTTAGAAAACACATTTTAAAAGCTTTTATCTGATTTGAATGTGCTGCAGGTTTGTTGTTTTTGCTTTTTATAATTAAGACTTATCATTTTGAGCAAACGATTTTCTTTCACATCTTTTGATCATCATTTTCCTGGACAGTTCACAACAAAAGTTTTGTTCCCGCTTGTCCATTCCACACTTGAGTAAAGATTTAGGTACTGTATAAGCTACAGATTATAGAAAGCCTTTTTGACAATATTTTAGACCAACTTTGTTTCTATGCTAGTCTTTAAAAGAAAATGAATTAAAAAGTCATACTCTATGATAAATTCCTGGTTGTCCGGGTTGAGCGCAAGAATATCCTGCTGAAACTATTCCTATTAGGAACCATCGTCCTGTTTTCTGCAACATCAAAGGACCGCCAGAATCACCCTGACAACTGTCTCTTCCTCCAGTTTTGTATCCTGCACACATCATTTCATCATAGATGGTCACTTGTATACCTTTCGACCTAAAAATTGTTCATAAAGTTTAAAGCGCTTTTAAAACAATTTAAGAATGGAACTGGATTATTTTCGGAAAATGCGAAACAGCTAGTGAACTTTGAGTCAACACTGTAATAAATGTGAAAAAGTCACTTGAAAAAATATTTTGGAAAAGATTTGCGCGTGTTTATTGTCTTTAAAATTGCCTTGCTTGTGTTTTTAATTTATTACATTTTTAACAAAATTGCCGTCAAAACTTCAACCCATTTTATAGGACTCGATCGTCAAGCCTGCTGTTTATAATTGGTGTTACGTTGTTTATTTTGCAACAAAATATTATGTGAACAACAATAGTTAATATTTTTTAAACAGTTAAACATATTACAAAATATTGATTTTATTTTTAACTTAAATAAAACATTATTTGGGTTTCTTTTACCTGTGCCATCTTTCACACTGCCTGTTATCAATCACGGGCACTTTAACAGTTTGCAGAGTTTGAGGTCGCAATCTGGATCCGGGGCTTAAAGCACCCCATCCAGCTGCATGTCCCACATCGCCGAGAAAATTCTCCCCTTTAGTCGGCAAGCAAATGGGGGTAACGTGGGGTAAATTGTGGGCCGCTCTATCCAGACGGAGAACTGCCACATCAAATCGGTCGGCTTGTGGGGTGAATTTGAAAAATGGATGAACCTAAAACATTGAGATAATAAATGTTGATAAAAGCTCAATTTGTCGGAGCTGTTATAGCGAAAAACTTAAAAAGATGATTTAGCCGAACGCGCTCCGGAGAAAGTCAGCCCAAATATTGTTGCAAATTGATTTTTGCAAATTAATTCTTGTAGTTGATCAAGCATTTTCAAGTAGGTATTAAATATCCCCAGAATMTAAACAGGCAGTTAGAGTTACAATGCGTGACCTTCCCGTGTTAATAGACAGTMGATTTYAGCCAATAAAAAGCCACTGTTAATTTTTTAAATCTACGCATAAAATCGAAAGTGATGCTCCAGGTGGCGTCACATTGCACAGAAATCACGGCCACTTTCTTTCTGTCCATGCTGTAACCACTGTAACATTGCCGAAGGTGAGCCTGAAACTTTCTCCGGTATAATGTGATTATCGAAGAAATCAGTATGCCGAAGGAAATCCACACAGTGAAGTAACAACCGGTGTAATATTGGAAAACGTGTTCGATTGTGCAAGAGAAATTCGATTTTGTCCTCTTAGTTATGTCAATTTAATGAATTTCAAGCAGCTGATGACGGTAGATGAGCATGCTGGTTCTGGTCAGTCATGTTTAACATGAACAGGCAATGAACAATAACGAATTTGAATAGCTAATTAAACTAATTTAATTACCGGGTTTTGGTGTCTTGGAAAATTTTTACATTATAGTATATTTGTCTGCAAGTGATAGAAATTTTCTAAAAAGGACCCGAGTGCTTGATGTCATGATGCAAACAACATTCAGGCGTGTCAGTGTGTGTGGGAAACTATCAATCTTCAGGCTCTTTAATAATATTTTGAGATCTCAAATAGAGAGCAAGCTCAGTCCAACTATTTTTCGGGCTTCAAAACAGTAATTTAAATTAATTTCTACTTATTCTGGTTAGATTCGAATGCATGTGCATATATTTTCTTTTTGCAGTTTGCGTTGATTTTTAGAAAACCTATTGCCTTATTCGGTATAATATTGTCAAAACAAGGACATTTATACAGAGCAAACCGCATGATTTCCGACTCACTGCTTCAAATCGATCGTTGGTTCTTGGTTTATTTTTCCTTTGAACTTGTCTGTCTTCCTATTCACTTTAGTTTCGCGGTCAGGGTCGATTGCACTWATTGTTAGTATTAGTTCTGCGACTAATTAAAAAAATAYATACGACATTGRCTTTTGCATAGAAATTAATTTAGTAATTAGCTRAAAAGAACAGAAAACAAGTAAAGTTGAACCATTGCTATATGTACAARCGAGTTAAGGATTGTAAMATATCTCTTAAAATGACTTAGGGAGTATGCGACTGAACTTTGACMTCAGCTTATTTCCTCGATGTGGCTAGAAATTKATTTTTTGTTTGAGTTAATTAAAAATATGTTRTAACCCAAAAGACCTACTAAGGAAGAGGAATGMTACTACAAGATTCACGATCATTTCAGCAAAAATAAATTTTCAGATATCATATATTTAATTAAACGGAACTGGAATCCTTAATGTCACAAAACCATCAAGGTGTTCTACAAAACCGATCATTTAATATAAAATAAACTAAACATATTTAGTTTACTTTAGAATACCTATTTAAGCTTCAAATTTGGCACAAAAACCAAATAATTTGATTCAGTTTTTTACCGAATGTAATTACGATTATCTTAAAAAACGACCAAATAGCAAAAGCTTACAAAAAAATATTGGGAAAATTCGCCGCCTTTATCGCTTTGAGGATTTCTAAAGTTCCTTTTCAATTTTCAGGTTATGCCAGTTTTAGCCAAGTTTCTATTAAGCAATTCTTTCTACGCAAAAATCGCATTATTTTTAGTTTTACTTAAAATACTGACAATCTTCAGGTATTTTCTGTGAAAATGATTAAATGAAATTTATTGGAACACTCGCCTCCTTAACCGCTTTGCAAAAATGTTTGGAGAACTTTTTGCAGCTTCGAATTATAGGCAAAACCCTAATAATCATTTCGAGGTCTTTTTCCAAAAATATTTCGCCGAACGGAAAAAGCGAAAGTTTATAATCAATTATTTGGAAAACCCGTTGAAAGAGGAGTTTCTTCACTTTTAAGTCAATATTTCTAAACAACACTGTCTCTAAACAGAAAAGCCGCGTTTTTTCTAWCGTTTTACTGTAAAATACTGGCAAACTCTTTTATGCAAAAAAAACTCGCCGACTTCCTTTGGACTCAGTTCTGTTGCTGGGAGAATCTAGGTTACTTTTTTTTGTTGCCTGAACAAAGTAGTATACGTTACTTAGAAAAAATGTCAATAACCCTTGTTTAGAGGTGAAAATTCCAACTCGTGTCTCGTAAAGCTTGAACAAATGAATGGCAACTCATTAACCGATGAGTTAAAACTCGTTAACCCAKAGAGCAATAACAACTTAATAGCGCAACTCAACACAGTGTTACCCAGGCCTATTTCTATCGAACGCTTATTGAACTCGGTTTTTAATGCTGATTAAAAAATTGGCAAAAAGCAAATCATTTATCGAAGTTCAAACCTGAATGCTGGACACCCCGAAGGTATAAGCAGGAAGCGGTTCCACTGCTGAGTTAATGACATAATCGCCAAGAGTCACGTGAACTTGTCGAGGTGTTGCTCTCGCGACACAATGTCCTGCAGTTACCACATGTCTTCTACTGATCAATGAACCACCACATCTAAAAACAAAAAAATAATTTGTTTTATTGAAGATATAGCATCGATTTGAGCCTTTATTTAATCATTCGGCGGCAAGTGCAGTAATAAGTACTTACTGTTAATGTACGTAGTTCAGAATACCTAACATTTTATTATAAAATCCTAACAGTAACCAAAGTCAACAACATTTCATCGGACGTTAATCGTTAAAACAAGCTGACGAGCATTATTTTGTTACACAACATACAGTATTTTGTTATTAATTTACAGCCTGTAGCAGACGGCTATTACTTTCACTTGGAGGTCAATGCATCTTCGGAGTGGCTGTTGAGGAGTGCTCGTTAATTGTTGCACAAAATTAACCAAACCGGAATATTTTCTACTCGCATATATACGAAAACTACACAGCAGTTATATTAACGAAATTAGAGTAAAGAGAAATCAAGTAAATGAAGAAACACATTAACGATAAGTAATATATGAAGCTTCAATGCAAGGTTCTGTCTGGATATTAAAATATTAAAAACCAGTTTGTATACTGTTTGTTCTTGTACACCTCATTGTCATAATTGGCTTAATAGATACACTTATTTCAATAATGTATACTTAATTCTTTACATCAATTCGTTATGCTCTAATTTGTTAGCACACTTTACATAATGGACCTGCTCATATGAATATTTTCTGCGTAAAGCAACTTTTGCAACAGGTCTTCAGAACACTATAATATAGGATGTTAATTTAAATTGTTTTTTTTTTAATTACAGGGGAGTATGTGTGGTTTTCACCTGTTCAATGTCAGCTGCAAGTTTCTGTAATTGATTTCATATATTTGTGCATAACTTGTTTGGAAAGCAGATGACCAGAAGGATTTATTACTGTAAAGGAATAAAGAGTATACAAATCCTACTAGGTTTGAAAAACATACGCCAACTTCTGAATTATTTTGTGGTTCCCCTTAATAAAAGTTGAGAAATGTGTTTTGAAGAAATGAAATGTTAGTTATTTTGCATGTTTGTCCATGTCTTTAAGCAACAAATTATAGAACAAAGGTTTGTTGTTCTACAAATAAAAAAAGTTATTTATTGTCTGAATAGTCAATAGAAATAATCTGATATCGGTAAACGGTTCTAAGTATAAATTATCACTGTTTTTAAAGAAATTATAAATTTTGCTCTTTCTTAATTCACTTTTTTCTTAAGTTGCTCTCTTTTATATATATGTTTAACTCAAATGCTTGTATTAATTAATAGCTAGAAATTCGACTGAAGTTTATTGTATGGTGGAAAGTTTCCTAAAGGAGAAATTTCTGACGTGTTTTCAAAAGTATTGTCCACGGTGTAATGAATTATGAAGGAATGAATGAATGAGTCGTGCGAAATATGGGAAAATTTAATTTGAAAATTTTAAATATATTTCTCAAAATATCAGCACCCTGAAGATCTACGAATATGGTTTGCAATTTTGCAATTATAGAATTTCAGAAAAGTTTTCCTCTGGTTTCAGTTAAGTTTCTTCAAATTCTCATCAACATTTTTGTTGCATCTTTGTAATTTTCCTGTAATATCCAAATACCCATTTTTCCTCTTGACGATAACAACATTTCTATCTGCATTATTCTATTTTATAGCCAATTATGATTAGAAGTTGTGTGAACTAAAGGTGTACAAAAATACCTAATCTATTTTTTTTTGTTATTGTGTCTCATGTGTACTAAAATTTAAATAGTCATCATTTGCGACTTCTTAGCTTTCGCTTTCGATTCGTCACTATACGGAATTAAATAATTCGGTGATTAGAATAAAATAAAATAAATCCTATTTGTCCATTAAGAATCAAACTAGGACCTATTAWGTTATGTATTTTTATATTTAATAAGTCGTCAATGAGAACATGAACCGGCACTTTTGAAACCACAATTGTCTTACTAATTCGAGAAAACAATTGATTTGCTTTTATAAATCTGCAAAATAGTATGTGTCTATTTGGATAGGACCATGTTTCTAAAGATCAGTAAATCTCTTAAAGCGTGTTCTGCTAGTTTAGTACGTACAGCTTTCTCTTTCTTGTACTTTTTATGCTTCATCATCTCCTAAAATTCTTTTTTCTTTGGTGTCTGCCATATTTCACATTTTCTTAATATTTTGCGTACAACCCTTCTAGTTGTTATTATTAATTGTAATTTTTTTAAGTTTAAGCATTAAGCATTGTTTTGAGTTATCTGTGTATTAGAGTTGTTAATACAACCTTATTATGCCGGTTGGATAGAGCGGAATAAATACACATTAAAAATAAGTAGAATCTTTAAGAAGTAACAGCTGTTTCAATGAAAGAACTAGCATTTCTGACAGCATATCCGTGAAACCGAGAAATTGATAAACGTACAAAAACCTTCGGATAAAAGCGGAAACATTCGCTGCTTCTTAGGAGGGCTTTACCCTTTAATTTATATTTATCAAATATCTTGCGTTCTCTGCGCCCGTATATTCTCTTTTAATCGCATTGCAGATAGAAAACATTCTTTTTCGGGGTCAAATTAGGGAAAAAACCTTAAAAAATCAGTTAGTGTTTTATTTTACGATTACTCGTACATAAATGTGCGCATCTTCTAGGTCGCTTTTAAATGATCGAGATTTTGTACTGGTTCGCAAAGGTCGGATATTTAAATTTAATTGAATGGTCTTATTCAATGAATGAATTTAATTTTGAAAGGGGTTTGTGCGAAGTGATCAGTACGTGAGCAGAGTATATTTGTGAAGGTGGACAAGCTTCTTAAAGCGATAATTTATAATTCCCTTTAAAATGTGAAATGGAGAGAAGTTAACAAAATCAGAAGAACCCAATTACTTCAATAACATTACATTATATGCAAATCCCGATTGATCATACACATTTTGAAATATGTGTTCACCTTCACCTCGCCAGTCCAGTAGAAAAATTAATCTGAGATGTTAAGTATAATTAGCTGGCTTCTCAGTTATTTGTAAGCGCTACTCTGTTTACTATGTTAAAGTAATTATCGTCCTAATTTCAATATAATTTTCAATGACAAAGCTCCACTAATAATAAATACTTGCTTATTTTCAAAAATTAATATGTTATTGTCTGGAAATTATCGATGCCAAACTAAAACCCCATAAACAATAGACAAGTGAAATTCAACCTCAATCTTAAACAATACAATTAGTCTTCCTGTGTGATGACTTTGTTTGCTAAATAACATGAACGTCTTTGTGAATTTAACTGAAAGCAAAGTAATAACAATCATAATAAACCTAATAACTGACTGAGTATTTCAATTCACTAATAAAAAATGTAATAGTTGAGGATATTGAACAATTTTTTTAATGAAATAGTTCTCAATCAGTATATCATTGTTGCCAAAGAACAAGCCGTTTTACGTGCTTTTAATTAATTCCTTTGTTACTTTAATAACTGGGTCTATGTCAGGTTTCACGGACATGCAGAGGTTAAGACTATTGTATCGGTGCTATCTTCGACTTTATAATTACGGAAGCTTTTCCATATTTATGAAATTATTAAATTTCATAAGCTGATTCAATTTTTTAAATTAATTTAATCATTTTGAGATGATAGGGGCATAATTATGAAATCAAGAAGATGGGTTTTTGCAGCCACAAGGGCTACTTTAGAGGTGTTTTTCAGTGCTTGGGATAATTCAAGACGATATTGTTTTTAAACGACGGCCTAAAACCATAAGAAACATAACAGCTCCGATGTAACAGTGGGCGATAATTTGAAAACAATTTTTATTTGCTATGCAGACAATATAAAAATATTATTCGGTAACATTCGGATAAATAACAAACATGCTTTGAAAATATTTTAATAAATTTTGTTGATGTTTTCGTATCTCCAATATGGTCCGGAACAATATAACAAACCTGGATCAAAGGGCTTTCGCTTTATGGAATATTTTTAGAAAATGTTTCATTTCTAGAAGTCGATTGAGTCGATCAAATGAATTGATAAATATTACTAACCTTGAGGATCCTATTCTGATATACGCTTGCCAAGGAAACGTTCCAAATCCTGCTTCTTCACCTCCAACAATTCTTCTTTGAGCTTGCTGTTTGGATGATATTCCACAACCTGAAAACAAACTCGATATAAGTATTATTAATCTAATTTACGCCCTTCATTTCATAAACTGCTCATTAAAAAGCGAAACTTATTATGAAAAGTTGTTAAAACTATCGGTTACTGGACATACTATTTAGTTTCATAGATTCACTTTAAGCTTCATCTTTTAAGCTTAATGAAATATTAAACAGTGTTTTGACACAGTAAAGTGTTGTGTGGACAGTAACTTTAATTATGTGAGTTTGTTAATTTATAAATGGTTTTGTTTCCTATGTTCGAGGCTGTTAAAACATTTTCCTAACTGAAAATTGAGTGACAGCATTAATCACAATTGATTCGTATAAAATGCACTAATCCAAACTAACGGCAAAACCCAACATGCCTAAAAGTCCCATATAAATGTGTATGGGAACTGCACATGCACGAGTTCAATATTTTTATTATTGTCCATATATTAAATATTGTAAAATATTACATAACAACCAAATTTAAATGGTAAAGAAAGAAAAGAAAACACATTCTACAATTAATCTTTTCCAGAAATAAATAGAATATTTTTGGCAGGTCCGAATAAACCCAAATAAGATCTTTAAAATAATCATTTATTTTGATTCACTATGTGTATTTATTTGATTCTGCTTCTCATTTAAATTACAGAAATTAAATTTACCTCAAATTAGTTAAAAACCTTAAACATTCCGCATAAAAATGTTTGCAATTTTTTAAGTTTTAAATTACAGTTGTGGATTAAAAACAGATTTGAATTATTCCTCAAGTTGCTTTATTTCAAAAATTGGCCATCATCAAGACTATTCGAATCTTAAATACATTAAGATTTAATGAAAAAAATAATATAACGCGAGATTAAAAATAAGCTAGGGAATAAGCTAGACTAACTTCTAGGGAATTTTATCTTTAATGTTGCACAATTTTCCATTCAGCCAACCTGAATATGTTGTGCTATCTTTGTCCTGTTTATGTATATTGTTATAAACTTCGTTGTAAAATTATTTGAGGGTGCAGTGTAGATTTTTCTTTAGATTACAATGAGTCTAAACATATGTGAGGAGTAACTTGTAAATTTATTTAAATCTGTTTTGGTTTCGAAACTAAAATGCAAATTTAAATATTGACGAATTTCTTAGATTTTACTTTCTTCAGCGATTTATAATATTTTGATGACCACACTTTTTTTTTATTATTAGAATTAGGGACTATCCATTTTAGTTTCGAAATTAAAATTAAGTTTCAAATGAATATAAACGAAATACCGTTCTAACTCTCACTATTTATAAACAATAAATTAATGAATGTTTGCAGAAAACACTTTCGAAAACCTATATTAGTATCTGATAAACTTTTGCTGAACGCTAAAGAAAAGTTGTCCATATATTCACAACAGACAAATCATTTCCATGCCGTTGCCTTCACGGAAGAAAGTTTAACATAATCAGATGTAAAATGTTGATAAAATCCGCAAAACATTTCAATTTACAGTAGCAATTGTGGCTTAATTTCACTGTCAAATTGATTAGCATTTTTATTGCCATTTCATTCCCAAGATCACTATCGGTTCTGGTTGCCCACGCAAGAAAAAAAGAAACCTTATGTTCTGTGTATATGCGTGACATTAATAATTAATAAGAAATTTAGTGCAATTGTGAGGTACTTTTTAAATGCAAAAATTGGATGAAAATTGTGCGTTGTTTTTGGGCAAATGCAGTGGTAGGTTAGTAGTGGTAGTTCAAGCAGTAGTAGCAAACGGGTTAGAAAGAAGCATTTTTTCCGAAAATCCAAATTCTTTATGCTGCAGAAATGCATATAAAATTTCTTTATTATGTCGAATCATTGGATTATACCAAAGAATTTATGAAATGGACTAAAGTGAGCAAAAGCTTTCAAGGAAAAAGAAAAACTCAAAATAATGCCAAGATTTGTTCCTTTAAAGTTCTGTACTATACATTTAAAGCCTTCCTTTATGAGTTTTTTCAATATTTCCCTCCTTCAGCGCTTATGAGAAACGAAAGTTTATTCCTTCAAGTATCGTTTTCACTTTCTCTTATATTATAGAATTTAATGTACTCTATGTGATCTTTCCTTGTGCCATCGCTGACAACATTTGAGGAATTCCCCATCAAATGAGTTCAGCTGCATATAAAAGAGTGAAATCCAAAAAGTAATTCTAAGAAATACCCTTGAAACAATTAAGAGTATGTGTAGAAACATTGATAAATATTTCCAAAGAATTCGATTACAAAATGTGTACACAATTGGACATTTATAGAGTGTGGTGTAGATGATCAATTCAAGAACAACAGGCCATTTAGAAAAGAAAAGTAATTTGAAGCGACAAAGTGCAACTTCATAAGTGTTCACACTTTCTGATTATAATTACATGAACTGATTCCACCCAGTCAAGTGCTTATTGTTTGGCGAGAAAAAATTTGAAAGTCAAGGTTATTAAATGTTGTTGGAAGGTTGTTGCACTGCCAGCATCGTTTTTGTGCTCTGCACGCATTATTGGCAATTTACTGTTACTTTCAAATAAGTGTTTGTTATTTTTCAAACCTTAATTACAAAACATTCGAGTTGGCTGAAGCATCCTGGTAGGTTGATTGTATTTTTGACGCGTTTGGGCATATTGCGTCTAAAAAAAAACACATTTATAACCCATCATCCACGTTTGAATTAGAAGCGAAAGTGTGATGCTGATGTGAAGATGATTTTTTCAATCATGTTTAAATATTGATCCTAAAGAGAGAGTATTAACGGATTTAAATGGTTAATCCGACGCCATAATGTTGAGTTTCTCTAAATCGGAAGATCTCTGGATTCCGGATTAAATTTTAATATTTGATGAAGTCAAATTAACTTTTGGCTGAGTAAACTAGAGTAGCTAATACGAAAATACTCGTAGTTTACTTAGGAGCAGGAAGGAAATAGAAAAGGCTAACGACCGTTTTCAATTCATATTTATTTTTTTGTGCAAAAATGTATTTATGTAGCACCATTGAAAACTATATAATATATTTGTTACATTGAATGTGCCTAACTCTGTAAATTGCATGTAGTTTAGAAGTGTCATTTGTATGTTTATTTTCTATTTAAAATTCATGAATTATCGAAAAAATTTAAATATGCTTCAAAATTCTTCATTGGTAATCATGAAACATACGACGTAAAGACATACTTTAATACGTAAAGTAACTTTGATAGGATCAGATATGTAAGTAAAGTTTTTACATTTTGATGTAAAATTATAAAACAGCGATTGTCTTGCAAATCTGGAGAAAACATACATTTTCATGAGTGAGTGGCAGGTTTCACATCTCTATGTATTTAATTCCGTCACTGTTTACGAAATATAAGCAATGACCCCAAAATTCTGCGGTATTATTGTATAGATTTTATAACTATTTAAAGTGAACCAGGTATAAAAATAAGCCAAAAATAATACTTCACTAAATTGCAATTTGTCGTACCCGTTTTAAAATTTGAATTCAATTAAAAATGTTTTTGAAATGAGGTCAAATTACATTGTTTTTTATTAATTAAATCATTAAATGATTATAGAACTGAAGCAATTATTAAAGAAAGAGTTAAAAGAGTACTTGAAAATCAGAAAACTAATCGCACTTTTATCAAAATCGTGTTAAAAGTGGTACAAAGATACCATCTTTTCTCGGTCAAGTACAAATTTGTTTCAAATTTTTCGAAGGCTTAGATCTATAGTGAACCCCAAACGAAAAGAAAACTGAAAAACATTTTTCTCAGAAACCGAATCGACGATTACAAAAAATAGACTTGCAAAAGTCATGCATATATTTGCACTAAAAGCAAATATCCAACTGAACTTTAAATGCGAATATCTTGGAAACTGCTGGAAATAGCTAATGAATCGTTAGAATCATTATAATGAACGATTAGACGGAAATATGTTAAAAAATATGTTATATATTAAAAGTATAATGCAGGGTTTTCAAACATTTTAACTGAAAATTTATTTGACAACATAAATTAAATTTGTATTTCTTAATTTTACGAAAATGTCTAATGGCCAAAAACGCGAGCAGAAAATAGGAAGTTTAATTTCAAAATACTTTTTGAGTTTAAATTTACTTTTCTACTTAATAAAACCATTAGCACAATGCTCAAGATCGCGGTATTAAAAAGTGTTTTCTTGCCGTTATTCAGTGCTTGAACATATCTACATAGAAAAGTTATTATTTCAGTTACATAATACACTATATTTTTTGCCAAAGCAACGACAATTTACGAAAACGTGCAGCAATATTTTCAAAGCAATGTTTACGTCCAATAATATTTAGAAAGGTCGCATCTGATCCTGCTACAATTTATCTGCAGATCTTATTTAAAATAATCCGGATATGGACTTTGCATTTGGTAAACATTGAAAAATCGGCAATATTTTACTGCAATAAATGCATCTTGGCAAAAATGAGGCCGTAAGGAGTGTCCAAAATATAGCAAAAGCAGCAGTCCAAAATATAGCAAGTTTATTTAATTATGCTTCTACAATGAACAAAAAATGCTAAACCTCACGATTAATTTTGCGTCCCTATTTTGCGTAGTTCTTATCGGCAAAATGTTAGGAATTAAGTAGTTAGGAGTAAGAGTTTAGAGCGAAACTATATAATTTAATCTAAAGTTTAAAGTTAAGTAAATGGATCCGAAAAGACGGCAACTTTCATTATTGATTGATAAATTTAGTGATCAAATATGATATACTCGAATATTATTGTTCCAAAAGAGGCAACTTCCAATCTGCTTTGATTTGAGGTGATGAAATGATGTTGAAATGAGTTATAGCCGTTAGTGTTCCATTAGCGAGCCGAAATGCAGAAAAATTGGCATATATACAATTTTATAATAGAACAAAATTTAAGAAACATATTCACAGACGGTCGAAAACAGCCAGCTAACCCCAGCTCCACCCAATTAAGCAACATAAGTGTGATGTTAAGTCGTTTTATTTGTTAGAACAGCATATTTCCCATATTTAGTAACAAACGTGTAAAGTTTTGCCTTCAAGTAATGATAGACTTACTGAAATACGTGTTTTGATAAAAAGCAGCAAACCCAGCAGCAAAAACATTTTCGAACTGAAATGTTAGTATTGAGAGTTAAATAATTTGTACAAAGTCTTTAATAGAAAATATTCTATTAAACTTGGGCAAAAAAAAACCAATGTGTCTCAATAATATACACCACGACTACAAAGTGACTTTTCCAAAACAAAAATCTTCAGATTTGACTCTACATTCCAATACCAAAGCATATCAAATTAACTCTGCAATTCTTCCCAATTTAGACAAAATACATCATTTTATATACAAATTTAGATAAAAATAAAACCGGGAAATCATGCCATTCAGACAAATAAAAACGAACTTACGAACACCATCAAGCAAAGTAACGTCTCGTCCTCGGGGCCCTTCCGGAGGGGCTTCGATAGTCCCCACAGCAGGACCTTGCGTCAAAAATCCTGTTTTAGCAACGCCTCTGAAACAGCAGCCCCTTAAAATACCATCGCAAGGGTTGTCGATTAAACCACCAGATATCCAGCAGGAGAGGAAAAATTCACAAGTTGCTCCTTGGGCACAGAATGAGACGTCGCCTATATGGGAAAATCGCTCGTTTGTAAATAGTTTTTAAAATTTTTATATGTATCAAGAGGTTTTATTGAGACTTTTCTAGGCAGATTAAATCTCGTTATTTTATACAGTGCTTAGAGGGTCCTAAAGATCTAATGAGTTGAGTTGGGTGAAAAAGTGGTTCAGGCACGCTTTGGGTGTATGTACATTTGTATTTCGGTTATATTTTGCAGAAGGAATTAATGCTTTGGTGATGCTTTTCCTGAGAAGCTACTAAAGTAGCTTGCACGTAGCAATAACCTTCCAGCATTTAAGGACCAATTTATACAATTTTCTATTGAAATTTGTATAAATTATGCTATTATTTTGAAAACAGCGCACCGAAATAAACTTTGCTAATTACTTCCAATTCTGCATTAAACAATTAATAAAATTCGTTTTTGAACAATATGCCAGGAACATATCTAACTCAGATGCAGCAGATTGTAATACTTATTACCGGCTAAGTCCTTGTGCCAATTCCCATGGCAGCAAATTATGCATATGTGACACTATATCAAAACCGTTTGCTAAATTATACTTAATAATAAGGATTTAATGTGATAATTTATGTTTGAATTAGCGGATAATTTGTTAAGAATGTGCGTTAGAGATTTTGTAAAAACGCACGTACTTCAAAGGCTAATATATGTTTAACGATCACCCCTGAAAGAATTGTAATCACACAGTAACCATAACTGCCTTGTTTGAAACAAAAATTTGATTTAAATTTTCAAAAAAGCAGATAAATAATAGATTCCAAATAATCAGGACCATAAGAGATTTCTCGAAGGTAAAAACCAACAGCATAAATTATGTTTCTCTTAATCGCAAATTAAATGACGGGAAAGTACGTGCAAAACAAAACAGTTTTTCAGTCAGTCATAACATTTAACTTTCAGCTACATGGCGCGTAGGCGGTACTAAAAATATGTCCGGGGTGTACCTCAAACTGGTACCGTTCCGGATTCTCCTTATTATTAAATTTACGATCAGTCGGTCTCAGTGAAAGTAAATGATAATAAACAGCCGATGATGTCGACGCGTATGGTGTTTTCTTCGTTCGACAAGATACTACTTTCAATCTTTAATTACGCGAACTTGAAATTGGTTCATCTATTTAGGAAGATGACGCCGATTTCTTCCTGGTAATAACATTTTGTATAATGTATTTAGAAACGGATGTTCATCAGCGCTGCATGGAATGTATTGAAGCACTACGAAGATTATGCCAGTCTTTGGATGTTGAATTCTTTTGAAGATTGATCATGTGAAATGAATGATGATCATTGCTTGATTCTGAATTATTTTTCGGGTAACAAATATTTTTGAAGGCGACTCTTGCTTCCAGATTTTGTTTGTATTGTGATTCACCACAAAAAATATTTGCCTCAATTTAATATGGCACTAGAAAATTATAAAAATGTACACTTCTAGTTAACATACTTATTTTTGAACTTCCTATTTTCAATAACAGGATATTCAATTGTAATTCAATACAGTTTCAGAGTCATTATTATTCTTGAACATTGCTCATCAATTGTTCCTGTGTCGCAAATACAAGGTAGATATTTGCCACTGGTTCTTCGCGAAAACTTCATTGTTTTGATTTTTTTGGCCAACAAAGTTTTAATCGGGAATTTAAATTTTCAAATTACCAAGCATTTTCAACTGACGTAAATCGCACCAGGGGTTTCCGTAGTAGGTATTACTCATTAATTGTAGAACCGTCTGTGTAACACGTATTATCAATATTACCTAAGTGGTATCGGCATTCATACATTAGAAATCCGGTGTTCCCTAATTCCAAGTGTTTGCTGTTAATCAACAAACCCAGCAGCACCTACTATGCTTTACGTAAAGAACAAACTTTCCAAAACTGTAACCGAATTGGTCATAATATCTGAATTAACCAATTCGCTTCATTCTAATAAAGATAGATTTGTATACTGCCAGAAGTATATTGAAGAGGGTGGAAAAATGAAACAAAATATTTCTTCCATTGTCAACATTCAAATAACACAAATCCAAAAATGCTATTCAATTCAAATTCATAATACTAGAACATTATAAAGTCCTTAAAATGTTGACCAACATTTTAGATAATGAAAAATCAATGCATACTTATATAAATTGCTTTTTTTCTATTCTCAATTTTGTTATTAAGTGAAACTTTTTGTAGTACAAACGAAAATTTAAAATAAACATTAACAAGAAATAAACAAAGGTTTGAATTGATCATTTGTTACTAAATTTAATAAATATAAACAAACGCAATAAAATACAAAACTTTTAAATGTTGTCAATGTGTTTTGTCAAGTACCTATTTTCATTGTCTACAACTTTAATAGTATCTTCTGTAAATTGGAAAATTCATAGAAAACTGGCGATTTGCTCCTTTCAAAATATAACATCATTTTTACCAGTCAGTGAGGCTAAACCTTCAGAATTGAAATCTACACTTGATTAAACTTTGAAAGAAAAAAGCTTCTTAAAAATTGCACGTTTTTAATTTTCTAACGTGACTAACCCAAAAGGCGTATTAATAACAATGAAAACTCTAATTAAATACAGTTAGTCTTTTGCAGCAATGATTAGATTTCCTTAATTATTCGAGACAATATTAATTGAAAATCCCGATTAACATGCCTCTACCTATGCGATTCGAACGATTGCTGAGACAATTCAATTCCTTTCTAATAGAGTTTTTCATTAATTTCAATTTGAACTGCCTTCGATTCGCTCACTTTCTAAAGAGCCTGTATGTCATTGAAAACGCCCCACATTAAACCCCATTGTGAGTACATTCTCCAGTCATGTTTGAAATATCCGGATATTAAACTCATATTGTCGAGAACCGTTGTTTATATTGCTTGTTATTAATCTCCAAAGTCATTGAACAACAACATAAAGTTGTAAATGAGCTGTGAAATTATGTTCAATTGCATTATTATTTATGAGCTTTTCATTTTAATGAATGTTGAGTTAATTTCATTAGTAAATAATTTACACGTTCATTGATTCAAATATTTTGCGTTGTGAGTTTGCTTAAATTTCTCTTTAATTCTTGCATAGTACAACGAAAATTGCCTTCATGGGAGGTTTCAAATTAACAAAAAAGGGTGGATATGTGAAAAAAATTCTAAAAACCACTCCAGTTTCGAGACGATTGCGAAAATATCTTGAGTATAAAGAAGGTTTCATAATCTTGAAAAAACATGTTTAGTAGAACACATGTTTAGATGCAAATTCATTATAAGACGAATTTGTTTGGAAGGAGTATTGAAGTAAAAAATATTTCAGCTTCTAATATATCAGTTTGCATTTGCTTTTATTTTGAAGAAATCGAGAGAGAAAATTTCAACGATTTTTTATTTTATAAACAGCAGGTGAGAAATTATTAATTGATGAGCAGAAAATCGCATGTCACCTTCGATAAAATAACCGCTTAAAGGAGGCAGACAATTTTTCTATAAAACTGTGTAATTTTTCTCTTTCAAGAATTTGCTAAATCGGATTTAAATTAACGGAATTAGTGAATAATATACACAGTATGGCTCAGTGACTTATTTTAGTTAATTTTAATTTTTTATTACTAATTTGCTTGCTAGAAAACGTTCGACGATATTGGAAAAACATTTCAAAAATATAAAGTATTAATAATAGTCTTGAAAATATTCAGCGTGTTGTATGGTGTTGTAGGAGAAACTGGCAATAGAAATAAAACCGACTAACTGAAAATATAAATGAACTTAAAGAAGTAATAAAAGCTTGAAAAACATCTATCAATCGATTAGTGCTTGCAAGTTTATGAGTGAAAGTTGTAAAATTAAATAATAGAAAAGTACGGGAAGTAATTGCTCAAAGTAATGCAAATAACGTCCTAAGTGCAAGTGAATAAGGAATTACCAGAAACAATTAAAAAACTGAAGGCTTAAAATAAACAGAATTGAAATTAAGTTGTCTTATCTGTCCAGGGTGTTCGATAAAAAATGGTAAAAATATAATGGTAGTTTGCTGCAGTAAAAATAATGCGATTTAGCACAAAATAGGAAAGTTATGTAAGTTTAGAAAATTATGTAAGTTTAGAAAATTATGTAAGGAAGATGGTGCAAATTTCGAAGTTTGCCCACCTCAGGCACCGACTTCGAGCCTATTAGCTCTCATCAGCTGGTTTTACCGGTTGGGGAACCTCGAAATCACTATCTCACTTACATAATTTCTTGTTCAGGGCATTGATTCCGAGAAAATTCTGTCTTAGAAGAAAAGTTAACGAAAACAGAAAAACGAAGTATTTTTAATGATCTTCTACAAATAATTCACACAACAACCTGGAGTTCTTTACTGAAATAAGTATTCAACGGTTTTCGAGGGTGGAAAATTTATCATCATTAATCATCAACTCAATTTTAAGCCAGTTTATAAAGATTGTCAAAAGCAAATAATTCGATCAAAAATCGCCCTAACTTTTTCTGGTAGTCCCCAGTAAAAATTGATGCGCCAATATAGATTTTCCAATATTTTCTAAACTAAAAATGTATAACTTTAGCGTATCTCTGAGATCAACAGTTTTCAAAATAATCGCAATTATAGCATTCGGTGCTATGCATATATGAAAAAACTGTAAAAGTGAGTTTATAATCAAATTTGTCACTATCGAAAACCTCTGACTACTTGATTTGAGTAAAAAAACTGCGAGTTCTTCGTAAGTTATCCGAAAAAGACCGTTAAAAATAACTTTGATCCGCCATTAAAATTTGTGAGAAAGAAAATCTGAGTGTTATTATTATATTTTGTATTTTTTAGAACCTTTCGGGATACATTAAATGCTAGGTTCGTCAGAAGTTAACCCAGACTAACCCAAAATAAGAAATCTCTATATATGTCTACTTGAATATTTCAAGAAACAGTTTGCTCAACATTGCACGGAAGTTTCAGTTGCCAAACGCTATAAAACTACAAAGTTTAAAATCCCCAAAAAAACGCAGTTCGTTACCCAAAAGCTACAACGACCAAAAATATTTAAACCAGCTTTCACTCACCTCTATCTCTACTATCAGCTCCTTCCAAATCCTGTAAACTGTTGTCACCAGCTAGCCAGTCTACTTCTTCAGCTGGTGCACTTCCTGCATTAGCCGGGTCCCTGAATTGTACTAAATCGCTGGGAAAAATGACTCTAGGTCTTCTTGAAGGGCTTGACCAGGCTGTTTGATAACGTGCTGAAGGGTCGAAATAGGCCTCCCTTGGCGGTTCGCTTCTGATAGGCTGAAAGCTTATATGTGCACTGTCGTATGGACCTGAAAGTCCTCTGAGCCTTCTCGGATAGCGAAAAGCCGCTAATTCATTGAATCTGGCTCTAGCTGAGCTTTCTGGGGTGGGAAATGATTTTCCTGTTGAGTAATTGTTGGGTTCGAAACTCTCACTTGATATGTCGCTTGCTTCGTACTCTGGCCGGTACCTTTCCGCTGGGAAAGAAATCAGATTTCTAGGGGTTTCCTGATTGTGACCCGAGTAGAATCCGTCGTCGTACGTGTAGGACTTTCTCATATGGCGTCTGGAGCTGTGCTGAACTGGGAATTTCATTACCTTAATCGGCCGTTCTTCAAACTTGAAGCCCGGGGGGAGAATTTCTCCAATGTGCTCTCTGTCGTTTGTTTCAAGCGACGTATCATCCCGTCTGGTTAAAGATGTGTCTAGTTTGTTGTTTTCGTCTGGTCTGGAAACTTTTTCACCACTTCCGTTTTCGCTTCTTTTGCGAAATTCATTCGGACCTTGGCCGTCATTTTCCAATGGCAGAACATCGATACCTTGAGGTGGTTCGACTCCCTCATACCGATTTGCGTGTGCATTCGCCCTAAAATCGTTGCTTTTTCCCAGCTGGGAGTCGTCATTGCTTTGCACGTCAATATCGACCAATGGGCTGACTCTTTTTGCGTTTAACCTCGCAGGTATTTTTACATTTGTCAATCCTCCTGCCTTAATGGTGCCATAACTATCGCCGTTACCAGGAGGTGGGCTTAAGTCTCCACTATTATTTTCCAAAGTGGAGGTTTGGCTAATTTGCGCCGGTCTGGCATCACCTGCATTGATTTGAAACGGTTCTGAAGTCCCTTTGTTTGCAGCAGCTTTTGGAAAGCTGCTGCCGATAGTTCCATATTCTTCTCCAGTTTTAGCTGGAGGCGCCAAATCGGCTCCACTGCTCTGGATGTTATCAAATGAACTGTCTTGCCATTTGAAAAAGGCGATTTCCACACTTTTCTGCTTGTCTGTTCCTGCTTCCAGATGAGGCTCGGCCGTATTACCGGTGTAAGCATTTTGCTCCTGTTTGGGGGGAATAAATTCGTTTTGTTCTATGTTTTGAAAATTATTTTCCTTTGATTTATACGTGATGTCAATTTCTTTTTCATTGGAAGGGGCTTGTTGATCACTGCTTGCTCCATCGGCAAAATTAATATTATGCTTTTGACTTGGTGGTTCAAAGTCGCCGCTTGAGCTTACTGGCAATCCGTATCCGCTTCCAACGCCATTGGTGGCGTCATGTTGAAAATCATTTTGTTGGTACTTATCGGCGTTATGTAGCAGAACATTGATTTCCTCTTTGGAGAGGATTTGGAAGTTTTCAACGTAATCCTCCTTGGAAATTCTTCCACTGCTTTCAGCATAATCGTACGCTGGCTCGGCATGAATCAAGTCTTGATATTCACTTAATAGTGGTCTCACAAAATGGTTCTCCAGAACTTTTTCATCGGCACTTTTGTCAGGCTTTTGCAAAAACTCGTCGAGTCCATTGTAGATTCGCCGAGTAGATTCGTTCTGGGCTTGCTGCTGGATATTTTTCAAAGTATTATAGAGATGTACTAAATGTTCGTTGGTTTGCTCTAATGCGGTTGATTTGTTTTCGGTTTTCATTTGAGGCCGAGGGGTTAGTTTTGGTAAGGAGTCCAGTAGACTGTTGGTGGTGTTTTCAACTGGAGGATCTGCAGCTTGAATTAGCAAAATACTCAAAACTAGTGCCAGCACTGATGAATGGAACTTGTTCATTTTGGGGAATTTGAAATAATCCCATTTATTTTGGTGTTGGCGTTGGCGGCAGGTAGCGTTGATCTGTGTTGCGGTCTTAATTCATTTGCTGATGGTGGCGATGATTTTCAAATTCCTCAAACCACAATAGTACCAGAGTGACTGTTCTAAGAAGTAAATCGTCAATAACTGCTCGAAAATTTCACTCTCTAGGTAAAAGTGTTTTGGTAGCTTCATTAAATTTTTTGCTTTAGTAATTACAAGTCATTCAGCTATGGTTTTTCCAATTAGGCATTTTTGTCCACTTACTCCGCTCGGGTATTAATTTTTGGCAATTACTAAGAAACTATCCAAAAACTAAAAACTTGCAATTCCAGCCAAGTGGTAGCACGCAAACCGATTCAATGTCTCTTCAGTCACGCACTTCGCGAAGTAAACGCGCTGAACGTCGTTAGGCTGTTTTTTTTGCAGAACAAAGAAGTAAAAACAATCGGGTAGCGGCGCGCTTAGGTTACCGTAGCCGACTAGATGGTCTCGACTGATTCAGCGAAGAGAGTGACTTTCTCGATTGGCAACCACCGTGAGGGTACGACCATGCAGACCACTTTCACTCTTGCTGCTTCTTTGCATGGCTGAATAAGCAATTGAATGTCAAAGGATAAGAAAGGATAATTGCTGTTTTGCTCATTTTGCCTAATATCTGGAATTTATAAATGTGGTACCATCGGTACGACTGCCTTTTATTAACATTTCAAATTACATTGCATTTATTATACACGGCGAGTTAATAGCTGATTATCTCAGTTATCTCGTGTATTGTTGTATGTTGCTTGTATGCTTTCTGTTGTATGCCTCTGTTATTTTTTTTTTATTTGAAAGGGTAATTTTTCACTGAAAAGAGCAAAATAAAGATCAGGGTGTCCTCAAAAAGTGTCCAAAAATACGCAAATTCTGTTAAATCCGAAAGATGCTCAAAAGCCTCAATTCGTCTTTAAATAATGTACTTGCCTCTTTTTAGGGTATAAGGAGGCAACATTCTCACTCTTTTTCATTCATATCTAATATTTGTAGGATTTCTTTAGACTCAAATAAGGAACTTTTAATCTCCACTATTTCAGCTTAAGTTGCAGTGTCTCAAGAATCATATCTTTTAATTGTGCTGTTATTTGACACCTAATGCGTTGAGACCCTAGTTAAACAACGTAATTAAATATATTCAAATGCAACCGAAAATTGTACGCTCAAATAAAGTAATTAAAACAAACACTAATTAGAACCCCGGTTATTATTTGTAAACTGTAGGTAAAAAGGTCTTAAAACATCTATTGCATTACACTGCCAAAATAACTTAATCAATCAACCAATAGTCAAACTGTAAAAGTGCAAATTTTATAAATATTGAGCAAAAAACTAATCCGTGAGCTCGTGTGAAAATCCAGTTAAATTATCCCTAGCTAATGATACGAGCAGAGAAAAGCATTCACAAATCATGAGATGGTGTGATGTATGCAGCCGCTACACAGCATGTCAAGCTGGAAAAGCACATTAAAAAATGTTTTGTGAAAACTGGGCCAAAGGCATTTAATTTGGAATAAAAAATGTAATACGCTGCATGAACGGATTGTTTATCTTTGGCCGAAAATGTTGGTTTGTTTACGGTGATCATCCGAACGAGTTGGAACGCGAAACTTGCACTTGAAAATATTGTGTATATACTTGAATATTCTACAACATTGTCAACAATAGAAAAAAGGTGAAATCGAACATCAAACTAACGCAATGACACATAAAGAGACGATCAAGTAAACGACGATCAGTTTGATAATTTTTAGTCATTCTGATAGTGACTTACTAACAATTGTCCGCAAATATAGAGTGATTTGATGCGGTTCCGGTAAGGAAAGTGCGGTAGATCATCCTGTCCTGCGTTAACTGCAGGATCTAATGCAAATTTTCAATTAATTTTGGAAGCTTTTTGAAGATTATTTGCAGAAAAATGGAGGATGGGGCGCCAGCTTTCAGAAAGCTGGTAACGATTTTTCAATTTGTTAATAAGTTTAGTTTTTCGAGGAGCATCTGAAGTTTTATGGCCTTCTCTATTTGTCTTTATCTCCTTTGCTTATTTCAAAAAATTATACTTTGGACTAAGTTTTTGGTACACTAAAGAATATTTTTCTTTCTTTCCAGGTGGCACGATGCAGCTTTCGGTAAGTTTGGCATTACTTTTTCATTGGTTATCATTTAGATCGCTTTTAGTCTCATATATTTTTGTCTTTTATGATATTGTTGGATATAATAATTATTGGACTTTTTTAGAATTTACAAATTTTTATTTGTATTCAAATTTAAAGTCAGGTATTATACGGCAACGAAGGCATAAGATTTTCTTCATTAGACTGTTTTTATACGAAATTTTCTAATATAAATGTAAAACTAGTGTCCTTTGCTGCAAAATACACTTGTTTATTGTCGTGTGAGGCGATTTGTGTCACTTATGTTCCTTTCTGTAAATTATGCTTTAAATTAATAATTTCTCGTATTCGCTGTAGGAATAGTTCGAGTTTTCAACATTTAAGTCTTTTTCACTCCGTTTTTCAACATTGAATGGTCAGGTTTTCCACAGTAGACTGTTTTTACATAAACCTTTACAATTAAATTGTACATTTTCTAATTTTTGCCTTATGGGATATGCATGAAGTTTAAACCTAAACCAAATAATTATTTTTTTTTGTAAACACACTTTGGATTGTCTTCAGCGTTTTCAGCTGGATTCGGACGGTAATTTATTTTATAGCAGTAGTAAATTTATGCAGCTCGCATGTGCAGCTTTCCGGATTTTATGTAGCCGTTTTTGTGGAAGTTATATTCGTTTTTTTGCGGAGTTCATTGTGCGGTTTTTGCTAAATTGATATTACGGTTTGTGCGGATTCTTATTGCGGTTTGTGTTGATTTGTTAGAGCGGTTTTTAAAAACGGCTATCAATAATTTTTTTTACTTAAAAAGTGCTTAAGTAACAAAAACCAACTTTTAACAAGAAGGATTTAATCTAATTGTTTTTGACCTGATGTTGCTATGTTTGAAAAACTTTTAAATATTACCACAAATATTTTAATCTAAAAAACAATTGTTGTTTATGGCTAATTTCGAGTGAGAATGATTTAAAAGCAATATCAGTTATAATAATAATATTATTAGACCAGTTGTTGTTAAACGTTTGAAATTGTTAACATGGTTGTAAACATGATTTGATGGGTTTTAAAATGTCATGTGGTTATTTCCGTTTAGGATTGCAGATGCATTTAATCGAACATTTTTCAATTCACTTTTTTACTGTTTTTTACATTATTTTTCATTTACTGAAGTTTCTATTTTAATGGTGGAAAAATACACTGTAATAATATATTATTACCGTAGTATTCATATCCATTAGTTTTTCGGGGTTTGGCAACAATAAGTTGAAAATTGCAAATAAATTACACTTTATATGTGCAAATAAAAATTTCATTTTTAATGTTTATTTACTTTAGTCAGTAAATTAGCATTAATAAAATGCCTAAATAACAAATAAATTTAAAATGCTGATTCAATATACTAAGACATAAAAAAGAAAACAGTGAATCCAAGAGTCCGATATATATTTGTGAATCAGAAAAAGGCATTCGATACCACAATCGAACATGAATCAACACTGAGAAATTTGCTAGAAAAACTTTATAAAAAGCGAACTAATTCAGAAATGCCCGGGCAAAATGTGTGTAATCAAAATATTTAAGGAGGGAATAAAGTGAAGATAAAAGAAACTGAACAAGCGCCTACATGTAACGATAACTCAGAGCCACTATTCAAGGTAGTAGACTTTCAGAGATGCTTCAGTCGATAGTGACGAAAAAACAGAACTATTATGCGCATTTCGTCAAGGAATTCCATTCTATTAAAAAAAATATGACATAAAAAATGTAGAGAGCTTTATTAAGAAACCAATAATGCTTGTTCTAAATTGATTGTTAAATTTGTTCTAAAAATATTGCTGGTCTTATCTCAAAACTAGCACGCATAACTATAAACATACTCTAAAAGTCGGACATAATTTTTACCGCTAAAACATTTGCATTGAAGTGGCAAATTTCTTCTCTATACCACCATTATGTACATCCCTCGCTGCGAAAAGGTGATTATTTGGATTGAACCCGATTTATGTGTCCCAAGGGGCTCGAAAACGCTGACTCAAAGGGTGATATCTCGAGTGATGACCGAACAAGTGGCAATTATTTGCAATAATCCTTTGTTCCTTACACTTGAGTATCAACCGTTACCCATTGGTGTCCTATTTACCTTTGAGGCACTAAATCGCAAATCAGACAACTAAATGACTGAACATTGATTTATTAGAGCATTGGACAGTGAACATAACAACTGAGCTCATTCACAGCTACAATCATTCAAGTTGTAAATTATTTCACTTGCGATTAAATAACGATTAATTGTTTGCACTGCATGAACGATATTCACGCTATCAGCGTAAAATCAAAATCAAGATTGATTGCAAATGAATTTCTGGAATTGTAAATAATTTCTCATTCATCATAAATTACTTTGTAGCGTTCAGAACAAGGGTAGCACAAGCAAAGTATTTGAATCGGAACTCATTTATTTCAATCACTCGACACATTCAACGGATAATTCAATTTTTTCATTTAAGATAATTTATTGCGACTTGGGGCAGTAAATCTGGAAAAATTATTAATAATTTCTTGAAGATGTACGTCTAGCTCGTCCAAACTAGCAATTATTGAGACAAAATTCGTCTACGATGTCTACCAGATGATGTGATAGACAATGTCTAATACAGAGCTGTATGGATTATGGAATATGGGATTTACAATTTACAATTAAAACATGTTGTACAAAAACTATAATTTACAAAGCGTTGAAACATTCCTTAGTTCTTAAGGAAAAACAATTTTAATTTGGAAGAGCAAACCATTTCAGCGAAAGAATCTAATGTTGCACAATTATGGGGTAAATTTTTCAAATGTTTTGTTCTCCCAAAGATTTTTTTCCTTGACAACTAATGAATGTTTTAACGTTTTGTAAATTAAAGTTTTTGTACAACGTATTTTAATTGTAAATTGGTGTTTGTAGTTTTTATTGAATTTTAAACCTGATGTCTCGATGGAACGTTACATGAAAGAAACGATATGAACATTTTTATTTCACATTTTGACTGAAACCCAGGAAAAAAAAAATATAATAACTTCTACAGAAAATAGTGTAGAACGTCTTCAGAATCTGATCAAACCCTCAGTGAGGTCAAAAGAAATTCCAAAAATATATTCCCTTAACTATTATAGTTTAACATTATCACAACTCACAAGTCTTGCAGTTTTTTTAACATTAAGTTATAATAGCTAATAAGTAATCCCTGGAGTAGAATTTCGAACTTCAGTTGAGCCAAGGAACCTAGTGTGACAAAATAATGGTTTATAGTAAAAATATTTAGAAAATTGGAGAACTAGACAATGTTACTTTACTCATTTTCCAAAGATTCCTATTATTTTCAGAAAAGCTGATAGCTCGTTTTACAAACTAAAAGTATAAAATAGACGAAAATAATTCCCGTTTTTAGTTTTTACCGTTTAAATATGTATTTAAAAAAAAAGTTTCCTAAAAAATGGATACTTTAGTAGCTAACATTTACAACATCTCTAAAGCGTGTACATTTCTTGTTATTTCCGTTTGTAACTTTTGAAATATTTGGAATTCGGGTCAAATTTTATATTGCAATTTTTGTTGACATTTGGTTCAAGACTGCTAAAAAGAGAAATTGATGAAACTTAATCGGTAATGATTACCTAAACAAATTAGCGATACGTTAATGAGTTCTACAACCTTTGCTGCCTAGAAATCATCGTTCATAATTATAGAAATCATCGCATCTTGTATCTATTTCAGTTTATAGTAGAAAACGATTTTGCGAACTGACTGCAAAAATGATTAATGGATGTTGCAAAAAAATTCGGGAAATTGGTTTTACATTATTATGATTTCTGGTATGACTTCACACCTATAATCAACTTGAGTCACCTGCTTGGCATTTACCAGTGCCGATAAGAAAAAGATACGATAAGATAAAATCAATCAATAAATAAAAGGGAACACTTGCGATTTTTCAATTAGCAAACCAACCAAGTTGAAATCAAATTACTTAGTTTTCAAATAGATACGTGTTGAAAAGCAGCAACTTTTTTTATTTGATTTGGTAAGTCAGTTTTTCTAATATTTTTTTGCAACTTCAATTACTCAAGAATTTTGTATATGTAGATTCGATTCAATTCATGGCTATAACAAAGAATTCTGATACTTCGGCTCTTTGCTATGGTCCACCTCCACCTCCAGGGCATCCGGGACCTCCGCCTCCCGATGATTGTTGCGGGTGCGGCCCCGGAGGATGTTGTGGACCTGGTTGTTGCGATTGTGGGCCTGGAAGGCCATGCGTTTGTGTCTGCACCATATTATAATTAGGCGATTCTGGATATTCCGGAAATTGTTCATCGAAGGAAGCGATCGTTACAAGTGAATAAATTTTTAAATTGTAATTAAAAATTACAAACATTTCCTGAGCTGGTAGTAATATCGAAGGTGACTGATAAATAGTGATTTATAAGCGACTAACTAGGAGATAATACTATAGTATGTAGCTACAAATAAATAGAGCTGATGCCAATGAAATTACTTGAAATGATTTCCTAAATCCTCTAGAGGTCTGCTGTTTGATTGTATGGCATGGTAATTTGAACGTTGTTGATGGTTGAAATTATTGAATTTTTTTGAATAGACTCGATTGACACCGTTTTTTGAGTTCAGTATTTTATAATATTTTATGACTCTAACTAACTCTGACTATTTATGAAGAATTTGAATTTATTTACCTCGCATCTTCACACTTTCGTTACTAAACCGTATGCTTTAGAAATTTGGGAACACCTAATGGTTAAGAGTATTTTGTTTGATAAGATTAACAGGATCCACAAGTGTTGAAAATGTAAGATTTTTATCGATTATCTTAAAAACGTGCCAACCATAAAATATTAAACCCAAAATGTATTTGTTTAACGTTTTCCAAGGATACGAATGAAAATGTTCAATAGCTTTCAATTTTGCTCTTTAAGAGACTAAGAAAATCTAATAAAACTTTCCTAAGAATTGAACCAAAAAAAGTTTTCGGGACTGTTTGTAAGGTACAAGTTTGGCTGGCCTCACAAAATGAAAGAGTTTGCTTGCTAGCTTTTTGTAGGTCAAGCACCTTTGAAAATGCGTCATAAGAGAAGGACAATACCAAGTCGCTTGTTCCCTCAATTAGACCTGAATGAATATTCATATATTTTTAACCGCTTCCAAGTAAATGCTATTAAAATTTGGCCAACTGTTTTGACAAATTTAGTTCTATTGCGGTTCCAAGTTATCAACGAAAATGTTCAAATCGAGTTTTTTATGTTTTTAGTTACAACCTAATTGGTTAATTTTAAAACGATTTTTTTAATGTTATGGCTCCGAAAGAAGTAAAATCGTGATCCGATTTCAATAATTTTTTTTTGACGAACTCCCGGAGATTGTTAAATGTCAGCTCTACATCTTGAAAATTACTCTATTTTACTCAATATACAGTTTATATTAAACCTCTGAGGGGCACTCAATGGTGCTAGTTATTTTACGTTAAGTTTGGCATATGATAATTTGCGAAGAAACGCTTCGGTTTTGAGTCACAAGGTATCAAAGTTTCGGATTTTTTATATTTTCTTCCCTACAAATGCTATAATTGTCGTGATAAAATTTTTTAAAGTTTTTCACCAGGTTACTTACAACGCTCCACAACTGTAGACATAAAGCACGCGCTATGAAAACATCCAGAGTACCTAATATTTTTTGATGATCAGGTGTCCTTTTACCTGAATAGATATTTCATGCTAGATTCTTAGATCACAGATATTTTTCGTAGTAATTTCCAATAAACACTCAACAATCAAGGAATCACCCTATTTAAATTATTAGTTTGCTTCAGGCATTCACAGAAACATACTTTTAATTAAATAAAAATGAAGAATGGATGTTTAACACAAAACGATTGGGGGCTAAAATTCTTAATAAATCGACAAAATGTGTGATAGTTGACCAACTTCAGGGGTCTAAAGAATATGAAGCGAACTGGTAAATATGAGTTCTGATACCAAACTTTCCCAACGGTGATTCTTTTGATACGAAAAAGTATAATAAACAACGCCCTGATTAATAAGTGTAACTTTCCCAATTTCAAAGGCTGTCTAATTGAAAAATCAACTGCAGTACATTTCGATTCTAAACGCGGTTATATTGAATGTTTATGTTAAAAGTCAACCTACAAACCCAACTGGAACAACAACTCAATCACCGAAGAATACATTTTTATTCCCGAGAACAAAGACGTGTAGTTCTCAAGTTTGCCATTGTTCTCGCAAAAACAATTAAGATCCTTTTGAGAGCGAATCCGACTAAAAAATAACACTTTAACAGTGCTTAACCGTTTCCATTTTGTTCACGATGAATAGAACGATTTTCTGAATCATTTAGCTTCATACAAGATCTGGCTGTGTTTGGTCGAGAAAGTTATTTTCCAGTACCTATTTTGCAATTGGCCTCTTCCTGTTTACACCCAGAAGGTTTTCGAGCCACAGATAAACATCATTCGGAACGTGGAAATGCTTTGCTTGGTAGTTAAGGACAAAAGACGCTCTGGAATGTACAGTCCGTGAAAATATGTTGATAAAAATTCGCATAATGAATCAAGAGAAACTTGGGTAATAAATTACAAATTTTAATTAACTCGCGGCGGTTTACGTTCATGAGCTTGTTAAGATGGGTTTCAGCAAAACACCACTTAAGACAAATATTTGAAATGACCGTAACGTGTGTTTTTTGTTGCAAAATGTATTGATTTATAGCAAATAAATGCAAGACTGCAAAGTCGAAAATCGCGCCTGTTTTCCGTAGAAGGGTGAAGGTCTTTGAAGCACAGACACTGTATGTGAATTATTGTCTTGACTGCTTTTTAAAATGCATTGTTTGCTTGTTATCACTTCTGACATGCTAACAGTTATAAGTGCAAATTTTTATGTGATTTGTATGTGTATCTTTGTAAAAAAATTATTTTGCATTCGTTCCCCAACATTGAAAGTTATGTTCTTTGAATATGGTTAAATTCAGTAGTACAGTAGTACATTGAATTTTCTTAATTAATATTACTTAACTTGAAAAATACAGGAAAAGAGCAAGACTCAAGGAAATCAATTGATATCCACTAATCTAGGGTAGATGAGTATGTTCTTCATCATCCTAGTATTAAATTATATTGCTAAAAGATGCTACGTTATTACGGGAATTGCGTAAGACCATATGAAACGGCTGAAGATTCGAAATAACAATAATTCATGCTAAATTAAGTTACGCTATAATAAGTCGGATTATTACCAGCTGTTTTCAAGCAACCGTTTGAAAATTGGTAGAAAGCGAATGTTGAAGATCATCATGCAAAAGATGAGGTCTGGTACTTATATAAAAACGTACGAACAACAGTGCGAAATTTAGATAACTGAGAACATGCAAATTGTTTAAAAAGTAAATTTTACTCAACAACTATTTAAGGTCAATGCGTGAAAAGTTTTTAAACTTTTACCGTAGAGAAGAGAAAATGTTACATTTTTCCTATTTTTGATTTTTGATGCAATAACGTTTTTAGTATACATTGTTTTAAATTTGCTTTTCGGAAAAAATGCAATTTAAAAATAATCACGATCAGAATGACTGCATAACAAAAATAAGTAAATATTTAAAAATAAAATCGATTTCTTAACGAGATTTTTAATTGCCTATATTTCGTCAAATTTATTTTGCATTTCTGAAGATTTCAGCAAAAATAATTCAAAATATAATTATCAAAAAATGTTCCGAGTGACCGCCTCATTCGAGAGTTTCTCTATTGATGACGTAAAGAGCTTTAAGAGCGCCACATTTCAAAAGTAGTTTTAAGTCACAGTCCGCTTAAAGAAATATTACATCCCAAACTTATGTTTTTTTTTTAAATGAATAGCCACCTTTATACTTTATGTATAAATGCATTATTAAATTCTGCAGCAGTAATAAATGTAAGTTTGTAGAAGATTGTAAATAGAAAATGTGAACCCTTTCGTAAGAGCGCTTCACTGGCTAGTCGCCCTGAATAATCTATGAGTCGAAAGTACTCTTTTACTACTTCATCCAAATTTAAGTTCTATGGAATCCAGAATGTCCAAAAACGAACGTTTCAAAATTAAATAATTGTTGACTCAAATTTATCGACTGTTCAAATGGAACACCCTCTATGTTTTTACACCATCGGGTGAAAATGTTATTACTTTAAAAAAGTTTTATAACATCAACCGTCTAAACTGACCGTAAGGATATGTATATACATAAAATTAAATCGCGCCTATTATTATTCCGAAGTACCAAATATTTTCTCTGTTATATAGGACGTAATACTTTGGGCTTGTAAATTGAAATTCGCTTATATAAGATGTAAAACTGTATTAAAGAAAATATATTAAAATAAAATAATAAAGACCGTCACACCGAGTATTTGAAAAACCTTGATAGGCTATTGGAAACAGTAAAATAATAAAGTCGCATATTTGTTTTTTTCAAAAATATAGTTTAGAATAAGCCACAGGCTTACTTTGCAATGCCACCGATTAGAAGTTTTTACTCCTACCATACCTTTAGAAATACATAAAATTGAAACAATAGTAGTTTTAAATTTAATATTTATTCGCTCTTGGAAACTCTATATTAGTCACCCTGTATAATTATGTTTAATAATGCGTGAAGACTGAACCATTGCCATCATTTTGAACTACTAACTTCAAGTGTAGAATCAAGCAAATGGATAATTAAACTTTTCCCAAGAATATTAGTGTGCGCTTTTCGCCATTGTTGTGTTAAATCACTGATATTTAGCTTTTTCTTTCTTATACTTTTGAATGGATTACTTTAGGAATATAAAGTTAAATTCAACTAAAATTTCTCGTTTGAATGAGCTGAGGAAATTATTCAGAGAGATTGTTTAACGGATTTAATTCATGAAACATGAATAAATTATTTCCTGCGACATAAACTTGTCCATCTAAGGATCTTGAAGTTGGTACTGATTTTAGTTGGAGTGTTTACATGTTCATATTTTGAACGGTTTCAAACAGAAATTGTATAAACTAAACTTTTGTCCGATAATGCTGTAATGTCCTGGAATAGAGCATCGAAAATTACAAATTGTCGGATGGCCGAAGTATTATCAAATCTGCATAATCAATCACGAAGAAAGTACCTTGGTGTATGCGTGGAGTGAGAAACAATAATAGCACGCCATGTAATAGCTTTGATTCAATATGCAGCAAGCATAAAGTAATTATGAAACGAATTCGTGTATTGAAGATGGATGTGCAACAGATGACACCAGCGAAATAAGAAGCAAAATTAACTCGATCGAATGAAAGTAAAACTTTCTTAAAATTCAGAGAGGCGCCTTGGCGTCGGCGATTGCAGCTACATTAACACTTCCTTGCTTTTTGATTGGATTTGCATCGTAAGTACCGAAAGAACAGTGGCGGCACTTTATTCAATTTTCCATATCAAAGTAGTATAAAGTCTCAAGTTATTTCTAGTTGAGGTATACTACTGAATACTCTATGAAACTGTTTAATGACATTTTCTGTCTTCATTTTTTTTAATGGTCGTTTTGTTTATGTTATTAGTGGATTACAAGTTTTGTTTCAGCACTTCCTTTTATGTTAATCATTTTAGTCAAATTTAATTTGAATTGCTAAGCTGTATTTTTGGTAGCTGCTAGGGTCTTGCTCGTAAAATCGCTTCAAGTTCTTTAATAATATTTAAGTTTGCTGCAGAAAAATACTCTGTTGAACAGTGTCTGCAAAATTTTCAATAGATTTTGTAATTTGATTGAACTATTTTGTTGAATAAAACTCTTTTGTCGTAAACTCATTTATTATTTTAACATATTTTTCGTTTTATATTATGACTGGTAATTATTTATTAGAAATATTTTTATTTTGAAATTTTCATATTTGTTTTCTCTTTTTTTTGTAAGAGCACGAACTCTCATCATCTAGTAATTAATTTTCGAATTATTAAGGCACAGTATGTTATCATGGAAAATCATTGACATAAGAAATAATACAAAGCAAACAATTTCCGAAAAGTGAAAATTTTGAGCTACCTAATTGTAAAATGTCAAATAACAAAATGCATTTGTTTTATTTTAAACTTTTTCAACTAAAATGAAAAATGGAACTTGACAAAAACAAATGTCGCTAAATTTAAAATTATTAGCAAAAAATGTGGTGAACATTAATTGATTAATAACTTATTCAGTGCGCCAAAGTATAAAAATTTGGCTAATAAATTTGGTAAATTAAGATTCCCCTTTTTCAGTATACCAAGTTTCACACTTGAGTTTGTAAAAAATATTTTTTCTCCATAAATTTACTTGAAACTTATAGGATCTTGCTCGTAAAACCGCTTCAAGTTCCTTAATAATATTTAACCAAAACTTTGCTTTTCTTATTACTTCTGCTGTAGAAGAACACTCTGTTAAAAAGTGTCTGTTAAAAATTTTTTTATTGATTGAACCATTTTGTTGAATAAAAGTTTTTTGTCGTATTTATTATTTTAACACATTTTTTGTTTTATATTATGACTGGTGATGAGAAGTATTTTGATTTTGAGATTTTGATATTTTTTTTCTATCTTTTGTAAGAGCACGCATTCTTATCATCTACTCTGAAGTAATTAATTTTCGAAATAATAAGGCCAAGTATGTTATCCGAAAAATCATTTTCAAGCTACCTAATTGTAAAATGTCAAATAAAAAAATGTATTGGTTTTATTTTAAACTTTTTCAACTAAAATGAAAAATGGAACTTGACAAAAACAAATGTCGCTAAATCTAAAATTTTTAGCGAAAAAGGTGGTGAACATTAACTGATTAATACCGTATATTCAGTGTCCAAAAGTATAAAAATGTGCCTAATAAATTTGGTAAATTCAGATTCCTCGTTTTCAGTACAAGTTTCACACTTAAGTTTGCAAAAATACTTTTTCTCCTTAGATTTATTTGAAACTTTAAACATGTTTTACCATGAAAAAAACGTGTATTAGTGTCACTTCGCTTTCGAAGTAATAAAAAGTAATGAAAACTCATTTTGGGTTTACCCAGACATAATAAGATAGCAATCTCGGCCGAAGTAGGTATACACTTTATAAAAAAACATCTACATAAATGAGATTAAGCTGTTATAAATTACAATGTGTCCCGGATATGCTGGAATTGCGGGCTTTCTGTAAAAAATTGTGCTGAACCCAAATTCCTCATTTTTCTAATTAAGAAGCAAGAAAAAGATATTGTATTTTCTTCTGAAATAACATACTTACATTATTTTAATGTTTGGTAAATTTTAAACACATAACAAACAGAAAATAATATTGTTTCATAATTATTAGCATCTTGAGGATAGGTTTGAAACGTGCAAAATATTTTGTTTATACTGTTCCCATTTTTAGTGCGATTAGTTTTAAAAAACTTCAGCCAGCAATAAAACAGTGGAACTGGAATCAAATATTTTCAAAATTAAAGATTTTTTTAACTTATAAAACTAGTTATGTACACTGTACACAATAAAATTTCGTAACATATTTCCTTCAAGTTGCATATAATTTCAATTTGCAATCCTGCTACTGCGATTTTTGATTGAATCACTGGATAAAATGTGAATCATTGAACATTCTAGCAATTTAAAAATAACTTCACACTTAAGAGAATATCGATATTAGTAAAATATGTATGAATTTTATAAGAAACTAGTACTTCAGACTAAATTTGTTAATTAATAACCACTTGCTTTGATTACCTCTAAATCAAACGTTCCTCGGCATTAATTAAATTACATAGTGCACACTCAAAGCGAAAATAAATCAGTCAATTTTCTCTAAGAAATATATTTCTGGAATCGATTAAAGAACGAGAATAACTGTTTGCGTCTGGGTTAATTATTTAACTATTTTAAAAGTTGTGATTTGTCAATAGTAAATCACCCTACATGTATTAACAAAGTCTTGTTCGTTTTTCGCGCTTGTTTAACGGAATGATATAATTGTTTTT